GCGACCACCCTTTTCGCGCCCGCAATGCTGGCTCGGTGCAAGCCTTGCAGATGTTCTCGTGCTAGTTTCGGGTCGTGGTGCGCCCGCGGTATCGTGGGATGGTAGGGAAGCTGGGACTGTTTTTTTTCTCTGTTTCGTAGACGGACCCTGCCCACCTCGAAGCCCCCCCGTCGCTCCTCCGCAACATACTTACAATCAACATCAATGCCCGAACGACAGAAAGGGGCGAGCGGAGAAGAAACTTGTGCGATGTGTTTCAGAATCGCTTCGCACTCTTGGTCGCTGAGCGGCGCCTCGCGCGTCGTGTTCCACCATTCGCCACTCACGATCACACCTGCAGGAGGCATGCAATAGTTAGATACCAAACGACTTGTTGGATCGGGTCTTTTAATTACAGCGTCCTGCGCTGTAATTTTGGACGAAGTAGGTGAGGAGGAAAACACTGATGAAGCAGCCTCGCGCCCCGCGCCAGGATGAGGAGGAGACCTGTTGTACCGGTCCTTTTTCGCCAACTTGGTCGTCGTGGCCCAGAGCACCTCGCCAGGCGTTTGCAACGTGTGTCCATCGACTTTCAGCATTTGCCAGGATGATTTGTCCGCCCGCCGGGCGGCGGACGCGAACTTCGGCGGCAAAAGCTTGGGCAAGATCTCGTCCCGGATGCAGTTCGTTTCGTTATCTAACCAGAAGCGAACGCTCAAGTTTTCTTGGTTCGCGTCGAGACAGGCCTTGCCCACCTTTTCGTCATACTCAATCACGCACACGTCTGCGTACAACCGGAAGCCGTGTGAGTCGTGCCTCCTGAATTTTTCACCGATCCAGCCAGCCGGTTCGGGCAAGATGTCCCCGCGCTGCAGCTCCGAATCCCGGATGGCGGCCACGTTTTCGGACGGCCAATAGGCATAGGGCAGATCCGGAACGCCAGCGGCACCGTCAAGGTCTACGAGAATACAGGACCGACCGACTTCACCTGCGCGCCAGGCCCAGTGCCCCAGCGCGGGGTCGCCTGGCCCGGGTTTTGCAAGGTCGTTCCCAAAGTAGTCCTCCACGAGAGCTTTGAAAAACCTTCTCGTGGCGCGCCCCTGCGGTTCGCCCTCTTCCTTCTTCACCCAGACAAGATAGTCCGTATCAAAATCCACAAAATTGTAGCGGCTACCGGTGTAACCAACCAGGCTCCCATACCTGGCAGCGGCGAGTATAACAGTGCACAACTCCCCCCCTCATTTGTATAGCATAAACGGCAAACAGACAAGCATCAGGTTCAGTATCAGCAAGAATTCCGGTTTCGGTTCGCTCTGCTTCTGCATGACAAATTTACACTGGCGTGTAGTTCTACTTCTATTTGGGATACCAGAACTTGTCATGCAAACAGTACCAAGAGGAACAGACTGGATAACTTGGAACTTTGCATAAAACCAAAGGAGGGGGAGGGGGGGTTGTGTACTCTCATAGCGAGATGCGTCCCACCATAAGGGAAAAAGGAATTATCCTGGTAAGTAGGCGTGAGTGGAGCAGGCTCCACATTTTTCGTTGTAATCGTGCGGAGAAGAGTAGCACCGTTGCCCTCTTGGATGTTCTCTTCGTCCTCGAGAATCAGTTTCAGGGCGGAGATGAAATACGAATGCTGCGCCTGCACAACGTAGGGAAGCACCGGCATCTCCAAAGTCAAGCGCCGCTTCTCCGCTACGGGGTCGTCCGCCCGGGCGTCAGGGCTGATGACAAACTCGAACTGTTCGAGAGTTTTTGTCGCGTACGCTTTCGAAACTCCCATCCTGTGCTGAATTTCTTTTTCTGCGAGCGCGGCCCTTGCCCTTTCACTGACGGACTTCTGTCGATACAGCGTTTTATTCAGCCTCGTTGTTCTTGGCACCAACTTGCTCTCGTCTCGCTCCTGCCCGAGGAGGGGTGCGGCTTCGAGGCAGGCTTGCCGGCAGTGATCTTGCGGTCCCTCCAGCTCGCTGCAATAGACCCTATGGTGTCTGAAGATCTCTCCGTAATTGCTGCAGTCGGAGTCTTGGTTCTGCTTGTTGTGCATGGCTGCATGCACGTGTCTATCAAATGCAAGTATGTCTGGGTCGGCATGAACAATGCGGATTTTTGTCATGCTGTTTTTGCACTACGCAGAATGTATGTCGAGGAAGCCGCAGAAGCATCACAAATGTCGAGAAGCTTCCGCATTGCCTAATCCGCAAGACAAATCCTTCACCGTGGTGACAGGAAATGGACATCCGCATCTTGATCCTTTGCTGCCTCTGCATGAGAGATTTGTGTGTGTTGTGAAATGCGCATCACAAATTCGCATCCTTCCCGACACAGACACATTTGCAATGCATAGTGTCTGTCCCACGAGAACAGCAGGCCGGTTCGCAGATCCACTTTGTGGGGGGACCACGGGTCATCGCGCCAATCATCCAGAAATCGTTGGAGCAGCGGAAGGGGAGCACGAGGCGTGGTGGTCGTTTCCTCAGCGCTCTCTTGATTGTCCACACTACGTTTTCCCTCTTTTCTACGCTTCTTGGCCAAACGGAAGGGCCCGCGAAAGAAGGAAGAGGACGTAGTTGCGTTCTTCAAATCTCGCAGCATTCGTTCCTCGTCGCACAGGTCTGGTTGATTCTTCCGCGCTTCGTTTGCGAGAGACGTGAAGCGGTCATGATATTCCGGAGAAAAAACAGCATCGTAATACTCCGCCGGACACTTTTCACCACATACCTCTTGGACTACCGCCGCCGGCTGGTAGCGCCGAAACGGCTCGGCGCCCTTTGCCATGGCGCACCGGGGGACGAGGGTGCTCTGTAAACAAGGTTCTTGCAAAGCCACACTCGTCACGAGGCCCGGACCGGTTGGGTACAAAAGCGGAATGTGTACCTCTGCGACGTCCCTGCCGAAGTCGTATCGCATATCCATGCTGTTTTGAATTTGCTGCCGCAGAAAGTAGAGTAACGCCGGGTTCCTGGGGTAGCTGGCCAGCAGGCGGTTAGTCAAACCGCCCCCGGCGAGCGCGTCGTGATCCAAACAGAAAAGCACCTCGCCTGCGCTCATGGTGTAGTTCTTAGTATTGTTCGCACGACCACGACCCGGAGGAGTTGGAGTTGCCAGCTTCTCAAAGACCGAACTTATCGTCGAGAGGTTCATCTTCACCTTCGACAATTCGCTTTCTAGTTCAGAGGCACGCGTCGAACCTGCTGTACCTTTGTTCCCCTCCCCGCTTTGGTCCTCGTCAACTCCACCCCGGTCGCGCTGCTCTTCGATTTTACTACCCGCCTGTTTGACCACCGGTTCATTCCTCTGCCGGCTTTTGCTTTTCTCTTTCTTCCCCCCACTCTTAAACCGCTTGCGCTTCTTTTTCACCCTACTTGCAGAGAAATGAGACGTGGGCGTCGAGAAACTAGTACCTGGACGCGCCTCTGAATCTCGCAACTGTTGCTCGTACGGGTCGGCATTTATTTTCACTACATCTTCCTCGTCTTTGTCGCGTTCCTCGTCTGTTCTTTCATGATCGTCTTTTTCTCCCCCGTCTACTTTCTTGTTCCGCTGCTTAATATGAGCCCCCATGGAGCCAAAGATTCGCGCCGGAGGGGAAGAAGCCGCGTCCTTTCTCTTTTGAACTCCCTCAAGCCGCCAGAGATCAACAGCGTCTACGTCACGTTCCGCCAGGCGGCGGCTAGTAGTACCAGGCCGCGCGCCTCCTCGCCCTTGGTCTTTAGAAGCCTCTCGACGTGATTGCTCTTTCACCTTCGCAGTGAAGCTCGTTTCCGGCCAGGTGGCCTTGGCGTCTACGTAAAGCCCGCCGCAAAAATACACAATCGCGATGCGCCAAATGTCGGCTCGGAAGGCCCGCGGATTCACCTCCTGGTAAGCTCGTGAAAGCGTCCACGGCCTCTTCGGGCTCATTCTCGTACTAAGGGCCGGTGTCGTAGAAGCTTCGTTCGGGTGGATATTAAGTGTAGAGTTTTTCTCACGAAGACGAACTTCGCTCGACAAATGATCATCGTCCTCACGAAGATCATGAAACACCTTCTGCTCTTCCAAAAAATCCGAGATCAGCCGGATACTTTCGTCGGCGGCCGCGTGGTCAAAGAACGCTATAAATTCTGTTTCCGGGAACAAATACTGCCGGACCGGCCCGTCCAGCAGGTTTGGATACCAGGGCCCCGTGAGAAAGACGTTCTGCCTCGGCAGCCGGCGGGCTTTTATGTCGGCCTCCAGCGTCTCGTGGTTCGGACACAGTTTCTGGCACAGCCGTTCGTATTTCGAGAAGAACGACACCTTATTCGACGTCGTGGAAGTTCGTGACCGGCCGCGAGCACGTGAAGACCCACGAGGACGTGGTCCTCGACCAGGGCCGTATTTATTCCCGCCAACGGAGCGCTCTATCAACAGAGGCGCAGAACCGGATGAAGTCGAGGGGGAAGAGGACCCCGGGAACATTCTATGTCGGAAGTCGTGGACCGCATAGAACACCAAAAATACGAAAGAAAGCCCGACGAGAACCGCTTGCCGGGAAAGTAGTACTCGTGCACAGGAACGCAACCCATAGTGATAAACAGACGCTGTCTTAGCGCTAGTACTGTTTTCGTCGCTTGTTGAACTACCGGAAAAAATCCGCCGTGCTGTCTCAACATGTGCGGAAAATAAGTGGTCACGATCATCATGACGATCCGTTCTCGCATCGCCAGCCGCCGCTTCCTCACTCTCGCCCCTTGTGGTTCCAGTGAAGAACGTGTGCGAGTGCGACGTCTTGACTTTCCCTACGACGCGCGGTTGCGGCGCGACGAGTTGTTCCTGCACGGGGGCGGAGTTGTCTACCACGGGCCTCCGTTTATTGGACTTGTTTAGGTCCACCTCTTGGTTCTTTTCCTGGCTCCAAGCGGAGAACCACGACGACAGCTCACCTCTAGTAGTGCCGTCGACGCGGGAAGGCGCGCGGCTCTCCGTGTGAAGGTCATCCTCTTCTTCGAAAATGCGAATCAACATCATGGTACTATACTAGTATCGAGCGGTGGTAGTTGTCTCTTTATTTCAGAGGACCTGTTTTTAAGTGTACGAAAAAACTGGAACAACGCCGAAGGTGAACTTAAGTAGTTGTACCGATTTTCATCTTCACCAAAAGTTTTTTCGATTTTGTTCACGGATTGTAGCTCGTCCAAGATGCTACCACGACTAGCAAGAGCAAAACGACGACAGGGGAGGAAACCGATGTCAGGAGGCACTACTACTGGGGGGTATGGGCAATCTGATGATGCAACCGAAGTGTATCCAGCGAAAGCGATCCTGGTCGCATGTTTAGGCATGAAAAGAAAGTCAATGTGAATCATCAAAGCTGCCTGTACCAATGTCTATGCCGTGGGCGTCTTCGCATTTCATTTTCACCACGACCACTCATGAGAAAGACTTTCATTCCGCCACTGCACGAAATCTGAACGAAAGCTGCACGATAGTCGTGAATGCCATGTGTACGTATGTGATGTCATGTGATGTCAGACAAGCTACTGCTAACTAGCTTGTACATGATGATAAAGCGACGAGTTGTACGATTTTTTTTGCACGATGACATCAACCATTCCCTTGATTTTCGTTTTCATCACGATCCTAGATTGCTTGTACGATATGGTGACCGTGCGATGATCATCAGAACGAAACCAGAACGCTGCAACAGGAGGAACAACACTTCCTTGAGCAGGGCGAGAGACCAGGCCCTCTCGCTGAGTGCAAGGCCAAGAACAGGATGGGTATCAGACCACATGCCTGCGCTCATTCTGACAAACTAATTATACGCGGTAATGCTACAGTCCTTATTTAATCTTGAGCCAAAGAACTCATTGCGCTGCAGTATGCACTATCCCGCACCGGCGCAGAATGAAGACCAGCTATATTCTCATTAAAGCTCAGAATTTGGCGGTGGTGTTTAGCAAAATTAAGAACGCGAAACCGAGGTCAGGAGAGCACCGAAACGGAAAACCAGGCCGGGGTACTGGCTCGTAGTACTACTTCCAACAAACGGAATTTTCCTCAACTCGGTCCGCTAGTCCTCTCCGTGGACGTCGTCCGCATGGCTTGCAAAAAGCTGCGCGCATTTTCTCGGTCCTGCGCACGCACGTTCGGGGACGGAGATCGGGTGGGCACCGAAACCACCATTGTGCGGCCACCATCTCGTTGTACCGAACTAGCCTGTGGTCCTCGTAGTCGATCTAGCTGCGTGGTACTAGAAGTGGAATTTTGATGATTCTGGTCCTTGTCGTCAGTTCTACTTCGATCCCGCTCTGCATTCTCCAACCTTGAAGAAGCCGAGTAGACAAAGTTTCCTTTCTCCACAACTTTGTCCGCGGCTTTCAGCTATGAAATGCAAAAATGTCTGGGTCTGGAAACTTGTGATGCCAAAATGTGGATGATTGAAGCGCTTCCAATGGCAGCCAAGCATGACAAGTTTTTGAGACGCTTTCTGACGAATTACAAATTGCGTTTTTGCATGACAAAGAAAGCTTCTCTTTTGCTGCTCGTGCAACACAGATTTTCCAGGAACGCAAGACACGCATTACAAGTTCGACTTTTCCAGACCCGGACATTTTTGCACTTGATATCAACTTTGGTTCGCGACTGGCCGCACTGACGATCCCGAGCTTCTCGTTCTCCAGTTCGCGCTCGATTTGCTTCACAGACGAAGTTCGGGATGTAGTACTACTCCTCACCCGCGCAGCAGCCTCTACTTGTTCACGACGAGTAGAACCTGTTTGTTGTGCTCCTCCTGTCATCTTCTCCAGTCGTTGTCCCTCGTAGTTGTCCCTGCTTCGACTTCTTCCGCCGTTGTCCTTCCTGTACCTGCTTCCGTCCGACGCCCGCACTGACGAACTAGGCCCTTTGAACAATTTGCTTTGCGCGGCCTCCTATGCATTGCAAATATGTCTGGGTATGGAAAGATGCGACCTTGTGATGCGCATTTCACATCACACAAAAATCTGTCATGCATGGAGGCCAAAAGTTGCACATTTCTGGCCACCGAAAGAAGGGCGTTGTCATGCGGATTACGCATCAAGAGACTGACCTTCTCAAAACCTGTGATGCTAGGGCGTGCATGGTAGCCCTTCTGGGTCATGCCAAAGCTGCATCACAAACCTCTGCATCCTTCCAGACACAGACATACTTGCATTTGATACCTCCGCGGCAAGCATTCGAGCTTTCGCCTGGTCCCGCTCGAAAGTTGTACTGTTCTTCGGGTTGCGGAACGAGCCTGCGAAGGCGGTATGCATTGCAAATATGTCTGGGTCTGGAAGAATGCAACTTGTGATGCTAAGTCCGGATTGTGAAAAAAGCTGTGTTGCATGATTATCATAAGTTGTCCACTTTTGATGAATGTGAATGTCAGAGAAAGTTTCTCATGCAGGATAGGCATGATAGGACTGTCGCAGAATCTGTCATGCTCTGTCCTCCATACCAGACCTCATGGGTCATGGAAAATCTACATCACAAATCTTGCAATCTTCCAAAGGCAGACACGATATTTGCGATTGATAAGCGGCCAGGGAAGAGGAATCGGAATCGCTTTCATCGTAGCGGGTCGTCGTGTGGCGCAGCTGCTGCGGTGTGCCGATGGTTGTGAAGGAGGTTAGCGAAGGCGGAACAATGGTAGACGTCCGCTCTTCATCACCGACTCCCCGGCGTCGCGAAGTAGCTGCTTTGTGCGCTACGATGTCAATCCAACGCTGAAAATACTCGCGGATCACGTTGCTCTGTTCCGCCGTTCTTCGCTTATTTCTGCTTTTCTTCTTGGCAGATTGAGTTTCTGGACTCGTCCGTTTCTGCTTTTTGTACTCGTCGCGGCCACTGGAGCTGCTTGTACTACTGTAGCCGCTCTTCTTGTTGGTACTTTTCTTCTTTTTCTTCGGACTCCTGCTCGAAGAAACTTTATCGGCTGTCTTTCTCTCCCCTTGATAAACGACCCGGCCGCCGGTCTGCGCCAGCAACACATCCTGCGCACTTTCGAACTGCTTCCACAGGGCGGCTATCAAGTGCAAAAATGTCTGGGTCTGGAAAAGTGTAAACTTGTCATGCAGATTTTCCCTGACCCATGAGGTCTGGAATGCGGGACGTAGCACGACGGACTCTGCGAGGTCTCTGCCATGCCTATCCTGCATGAGAAACTCCCTTCCAACTTTCTCAAAAGTGGACAGCTTTTGGCACTCATGCAACACAGATTTCTGCATGCTTCAGATTTACCATGACAAGTTTCCACCTTCCAGACCCAGACATATTTGCAATTGATAGCGGCGTACCGCAGCTCCAGTTCCTTGTGTTGCGCCTGCGAGTCGGCTATGCAGTGCAAATATGTCCGGGTCTGGAAGATTCTGAGACTTGTCATGCACGTTTTGCATGAGCCATGATGTCGGTGATGCATGCCCTAGCATCACAGATGTTTTGAGGGCATCTCGATGCCTATTCCGCATGACAAACGCCCTCTCCGGGTAGCAAGAATCGCGTTCCCTTTGCATTTGCTGCTCATGCAATACAGATTTTTCTGGAATCCAAATGCAGCATCACAAGTTGCATTTTTCCAGACCCAGACATTTTTGCTCTTGATATCGGCCAACTGCCTCCCCTTCTGCTCCAGCTCGAGCTGCAACTTCGCCGTTTCCTCGCTTTTCACCTGCAGCTCCTGCGCCAGCCCCTCCTCCCGCAGTTTGTGCTGCTCCTTGGCTGCGTCCAAACTTTCTTGGAAAATTTGGCCCTGGGTCATCAGTACTTCCTTCAGATTGCCGATCGCCTTCTTTATGAGAGTGCACAACTTCCCCCGCTTTTGGAGTGCATGACTCTTGAACAGCAATATAAACGCTAGCACATGTGGAGCCTGTGCATGACAAATTTCTTATGCGCCGACTGTAGTGCTTTTTGGGCTTCCAGCATTTGTCATGCCAACAATGCTACAGGGCTGCAACTGTACTGGATTTCTACTTCGGATTTTGCATGACAAATAACGGCGGGTTGATGTGCGCTCTCATACTCTCGAATTGCGTGTCATAAGCCCGGTCCCGGGCCTCGAGATTATCCTGTGCAAAAGTATCGCACTCGCAGTCATTGCAAACATGCATATACAAATATCCATCCCAAGGCAAAACGGCATGACAAATTCCCGTTGTCATGCTGAGCGAATTTGTATTGCGATTTACACTAGTACGATACTTTTGCGATTCATAGAGATTCAGCTTCAGCAATTCCAACTTGGCTTTCGTCTTCGCGTTCGTCCGTTCGTTGGAGGAAGACCAAAATTTCTGGTGCGGTTGAAGAAGATGTCCTCGTGCGCCGGTCCGGTCGTCTGCGTCGTGGTCCGCCTCCTGCTCGTCTTCTTCGTGGTAACTGCTCATCAGGACCGAGGCCAAGTCTCGCAGGTTCTCGCGGTCCGAACCCCCAGTCGCGGAGGAGCTGATCAGACTGTTGGCCTCTCGCAGCATTCGCTCCAGCTGCGCAGCCTTGGACCGCTGGAAAAGAACCTGCTGGGGTTGCTTCGGCTTCCCGGAGTAGAGCAGCTCCTGCTGATGTCCTCGCTGTTGAGCTGCGGGGAACATCAACGGTGACTGTGACGTCGTCGTATTGTCGTAACCCCGCTGCTGGGGCAGCTTGGACCGCGTCCACAGCTTTCCCCTTGGTTGGTCCACCTTGTCCCGCGCACGACCCCGGCCCGCCTGCCCGGACTTGGAGACCACATCTTCCGAAACGCTGTCGTGCTGCTCTAGCTCCACAGCAGAAGAGGACGACTCGTTCAGAAGACCTTGTTGCACCAGCGCGTTGGCCTTTATTCCCCCTGCTCGTCGTCCTCGTTGAACAGCTGTAGAAGTACCGCCAGAAGCAACGAATCCGTAACTATTGTTTTCTTGCAGCTCCCTGTCCGGGCTGTAACTAGGTTGTCGAGAGGACATCAGCAGCGGCCCATCTTCCCGATTATGATCCACAAGCTGTTGTTCAGCGTCTGTTCTTTGCTCGCGGCCCTCCTGCTCCGTGAAAAACTTTGCTTGTAATTCTTCTTCTCCTGCAACACCCCGATTACGACGTCCTTTTTTTCCAACAGACTCCGACCTCGAACTCGCCGCGGCTGGACTCCTGTCCCCGACTGGGCTGCGCGCGTCCGTTTTGCCATCCACGAACGTGGTGGGGCTCTGTATCGCGTTCGACGCGTCTTCGTTGGCGGCGTCGCTGGGCGACGCGACTCCTGCGCCGAACATCCGGTTGAAAAACCCGACGACGCCATCTTCGAGTTCCTCCAGCAGGCTTTCCTCTTGCTGTTCGGCCGGTAGTTGCCCGGAGGCACCGCCCAGAGCGTCGGGACGAGCGAGGCTGTCTTTGCTGTCGCGCAGCTCAACATCGGCCGGGGGCGTGGCGACCTGCGGCTGGGGGCGCGCGCGCGGGTGCCGGGGTTTTGCTTTTGCCTCGGGAGGACGGGTGGCCATTAATTCCGTGGCTGTTGGAAGGCTAATGCGATAATTCTCGAGAAAATAAGCAGTACCTGAAACGCTGTAGCCAGTTGTAGGAGCTAGAAGTACAACTGTAGAAGGAGAAGGAGCCGGTAGACGACAACACAAACATAGAACAATGTCAACCTAGAAAGCCCATCTACTCGGTTGTCGGATACAACTCCTGCCTCTCTCGTTTGAAAAATCGGGGTTTGCTCACAAGACTTCCGCGCTCTTTATTCTCTCCGAACGCATAAGTCGTCCATCATCTCCATGAACGAAAGGAAAGATTACACTGCGTTTACGTTCATATCTAGTCTTGTTCCACGCGCCCAGCTAGGAAACTGGGTGCGGCTTTGAAGCAAACGATGTGAGACGACGAGGATAATCGTACCATAGCCATACACTATCAGCGAATAGATCCAATATGTCGTACCAGGAGGGGAGCATCCACCGCGCAAACGCGATCGGAGTTCACGACCCCGCCGCAGGGGAAACATTTTCGTAGCAAGCGTAGAAAAAAGATCTTCAAAACGAAAAACAACCCTATACACTTTTTCTCCACCGTGATGCTGGTGTCGCGGGAACGCAACAGAGCAGAGAACTGCTTATTTAGCGCCGCGGCTCATCTTCTCGTCGATGTGGAATTGACTCTTCAGTCACCCACACCCACCCTTGATTCTTATTCTGTACATGATGTGCATTTTGAAATATGTATATGAAATGTTGCGTGTTCATCATCTTCATGATTTTATAAAAAAATCTTCAATCATGTTGCGGGTTCTCCCTTGGGGAGATGTAAAAAAGTTGGCACAGTTGGTTCTGTTCGTTACGAATTCTATTTTCGAATTTTGATTTTCTTTTTCTGACGTTTACCTTTCCCGACAAAAATTGGGCCACAGCCCGGACAAAAATCATAACGAGACACGACCACTGATCTTCAATTTGATTTTGATTTGAATTTGTAAAGTAATACATAGTTTAGTATGAAAGCGAATGCAACAAAAATCTGAATCCCCTCGTCGCCGGCGACTGATGATGAAGCCGGTCACTGAAGGAGACTTCCATGTCCGCTCTCCCACCTCACGGATCGGACGAAGTCGGGGTTGCCGCGAAGGACGAGCTCGACGTGGCCGAATCGGTGCTCGAAGCCACGTTATGCATTACGCAAAAGTATCGCACATCAGTGGGTGGAGAAAAAATGATGGAATATGTAATACTGACTGACCTAAGAGGCGAGTTTTGTCATGCATGACTGCAATTAGGACGAGTGCGATACCTTTGCACTAGATACGCGTCCGTGACCTGCATTTCCTCGTCGGTTGTGAAGGTCGTCGCCTGGTCGTGGAGGGAGGAAAAGCCGTTGTTGATGTGCGAGACCGTCTGCGAGTCCAGAGCCGCTTCTTGTTCCTCGTTTTCGCCCTCGGATTGCGCTTGACCGGCATGTTCGTCGTTCGAGATCAAGACGGAACCAGCTGGGCCAACTTGCGCGAATGACTGTCCCTGCGAATGCCGCTGCCAACGACGTGGGTGCGTTGCACCAGCAGCGTTGAGGTCGACGTGACACCCGTCCGGGTGCTGTTCCTTGTCCGGTTCATCATGATCTTCTCCCGCGTGATTGTTCTGGTGATGGGTCCCGTGTTTCGGCTCATGCTTGAGCTTGTGCTGGACCACCGTGTGTAAATCAGCCACCGCTTTTTGTAGCTCGGAGATGTACTCTTTGTCGTGGTCATGCAATGGAATTACGAATTTGGGTAGGGGTTCGACAAATTTGTGCACGTAGTTCATTGCAGTGTGAAGCGTTATCCCATAGAAAAAGACATCAGGCAAGGCATATAATTTGTACTGCAAAAATAAATGGAAAAAGTTCTGTCATGGGCGAGCCCATATTATGAGGTCTAGATAGGGAATGCAACACAGATTTTTTCTCCATAAATATTTTTTTAGGTTTGCGTATACAAATATGACCTGCCTGTTTACTTCTGGGAGATAAGTTCCTCGATTGTATGGATCAGTAGCTTCGCCTTCGTGCTGTGCTCGGAAGCGAAGTTAGAGATGGTGACTTCAGCTTTTTGCTTCTTCAACTCGACGATAGCTCCTCCTACCGTTGATCTTAATTCTTCAGCAGCAGCTTCTAAGTTTTCGCGCAGCGCACGCACCCCTGCTACGATTGGGTCGATGGGGGTGGGGCCCACCTTGAAGAGCTCGTGCGCGAGTTCTTTCCGCTCCTGATGCCGCGCAGCGGGCAAGAGGTCCTTGATGTCCTGGTTATGCGTAGGTGGTTGTCGTCGTTGATTTCCGTCAGGGCCAGCTAGTAGTGGATTGGGGCGCCTCTTGGGAGACGGTTCTCGCTCCGGTTCTGGACCCTGGTGGCTAGCCCCGTGACGGCCTTGATGTCCGAGTCCGGGTATGTGGTCTCGTGCGTGTCCAGCCCCGTGATTCTGATGCTGGCCGCCATGATCCTGTCGATGATCCTGGGCCTCATCGTCAAAGTAGGTGCCACCGCCTCTCTACAGCTGGTGCTGATCAAAGTAGGTGCCACCGCCTCTCTGCAGCTGGTGCTGATCAAAGTAGGTGCCACCGCCTGTCTGCAGCTGGTGCTGGTTGGGTTTGTGGTCTCGTGCGTGTCCAGTCCCGTGATGCTGTTGCTGGCCTTGTCCGAGCGGCTGCATCCCGGTTTCCATCATGGAAGAGGAGGTCCCCCGACCCCCCCCCCGCTTCTTGGCGGGGGCGCCACCACGAACCGCAGATAGTACTGGCTCATCCGCATACTCTTCTTCCCCTACTACCGGAGAAAGCGCTTTGGCCGTAGTTGTACAGCTGAGCAGGATCGCAGCAACGACGACCTGCGAAGCAATGTAATTGCCGCGCAGACGCATCTTGCTTAGCTTCTTCTACGCAGTTGTACGTGCTGATATCTATTAATTTTTGTGCTGTCGTGTTGATTGATCATGTCATTCTTCTATACTCTTCTCGTTCACCTCTTCGTCTTCTCTTTGTTTTGGTCGGGTCCTCCCGTCTCTCACATTATCTATATTTATTGGACTGCACTTTTACAAGACTGTGGTGGCTCTTTCTCTCCAAATGGCTCCTCGTCTCAGGCGGAGATCTCAACAATCAATAGAAGACCATGCTGCAGAACAGATAAGTAGACTCTGAGGGCGGTGTCGCCTGAACTTATCTCCTGTAAGTATGCAGCAAGGCTTCATAGTTGTACGAAGGAGTTCTTGCAATCTGCACTGAGAAATCCGAATCCGCTGTCCCTTGTTTATTTCGCTTCAGACCAAGCCTCTGTAACAGCACGTCCCCGTCGATCTCGATCTGATGTAAGTCATAAAAAACAGTGCGTATACCTTCAGATGTTCCAGTGCAAACTTTAACTTAGCGCGATAACAAGTCTTGTGTACCTCGGACTTCGTGAAATTTGTTCCCAAAACGTGACTGAGACTGCGCGTCCGTTTTTCATCTTATTGGGACTATCTGATATCACAGGACTCACCATTTTTACGTTTCGTTGAGTGTAAAGCAAATGCAGAATCCAAATCCAGGAAGTGAAAATAAATACCAGAAATAACGCATCATCAAGTTTAACCTTTTTCGTTGTGTGTTTGTCGACCTCAATCGAGGAAGAACTGCAATGAATTAGGATTGTAGTACTATTTTACGGTGTTTATTTGTGCCTAAGCATATTATCGAATCAACAATCTTTAGTTTTAACCTGGTTCTACTAATTGACCCAGGGTTTCACCACCTACAGAGCACCTCCACCACCGCCCTTACTTCTTCCCCGCCGGGGATGCCGGCTCCTCGCTTCCGGTTTTTTTCGACGCTGGCGACGAATCTGATTCAGAGCTGTCGGAGGATCCGGACCCCGATCCCGACGGAGACGAGCTCGCGGGAGAGTTGTCCGAGGAAGACGAGGTCGGGGAATCCGGCGGACTCGAACCCGGGGGCGCAGGAGAGGGAGAAGTTTTCTCACCCGCATCTGTTGTGTCTTTCTTGCTCGCACCAGCTGTAGCGTCTTTTTTTCCTGCACTAGCAGCTGCGCCCTGGTGGTCCTTGGAGCCGCTAGCAGGTGCTGGGTCTACTTTGGCACTCGTACTGCTGCTGGGTTCCTGTTCCGTTTTCGCACCACTCGGCTCCTCCGCCGGAGCAGCCTCCGCCGCTTTCCCTTTTACGGCACCCGTCGGGGCTGCAGTACAACTAGACGACGTATTTTTCGCGGATCCGTCAGGCGCTTTTGCGTCAACTGCTGCTGGTGATGCGTTGCTTTCCCCGGGTGACGGTTCTTCCTTGGACGGCTTCTTGCCCTCCGCTGCTATTGTTTCGCCGTCCGCCGGCGGACCGGCAGGCGCGGTTGCCGCCGGAGGATTTTCACTTTCTACTTTCGTTGCAACTACTACACCGTCCTCTACCGGTGGCGGCGGCGCTGTTTCCTCCGGCGGTGCTGATGTTGAGGCTGGAGGCTCCCCCTGGCTCTTCTCGTCTGTCCCTTCTGCGACGGGTTCCATCGGTGGGGCTGGGGGGGCACCGGCACCACCAGAAGAAGTTGTACTCTGCTTGTTCGTCCCGCCGGGCGCGACGGGCGGCCGCCCCTCCCCACCGGTGGAGCTGCTGGAATTGCCGCCTGGACCCGTGGTCACTACTTCGTTGGGAAAGGGGTCGTCCCTGGCCGTGTCACCGCCGTTGCCGCGGGAGGAGGGAGAAAAATCGTTGTCCCTCAATGTCACGGCGTCCTCGCTCTCGCTGCCCAGCATCAAGGCCGAGATCGCGCCGGGTTTGATCAGCGCGCCGAGTGGGTTACTCTCCTGCAAGTGGTCTTCCTCCACACTGCCGGGGGAGCCGCGGGGCTCGCCGTGCGGCTGGAGGTCCGCGTTGTTCGTGGGTGACATCAACGGCTGCAGCATCTTGTCCGTCGCCTGCAGGCTGTTGTTCTGCAGATCGGGAGAGGCGGTTTCGCCCGGGGGTGTCTTGGCGGCAGGATCTACTACTTCACCGGGTAGTTGTTCCCGCGCTATAATTTCCTTCGGCGTCGTCGCCGCTTCTTGTTCATGTGGAAGTTGAGCCAGACCGTTGGCTATCGTACTAGAAGGCACAGCAGCTTCCGCTTTGCTTACTGCGTCGGCTGAGGACGCTGATGCAGCTGGAGCGGGATCGCTCCTTTCCCCTGCTTCTACTTCGACCGTCTTGGTGGCTGCAACATCTTCGCCTAGTACTGGCACGACAGAGCTGCTACTTGCGCCGCCGGGCTGTGGTATTGTTACTGGACCAGGATTATCTGCTGCTTCCGGCGCCTGCGCGACGTCTTCTATTCGGTTCTTCTGCCCAAGAACTTCTACATCAACCGGCTCGGCCACCACCACCGAATCTGTATTTTCGTCTGCCCGCGCGCTCAGTGGCTGCGCGTTCTCGTGCTGGCCCTCCAGAATGGGCCCGTCGAGGGAGGAAGGCCCGAAACCCGGCAAGTTTGCGCTCTTCACCGTCAGAAGCGAAACATCTTGCTCCGTCACGGCGGATTGCTCCAAGATCTGCGACGTGGATTGCTGCCCCGCGGCGGTGTTCCCATGATCTCCGGACGACCCAGAAGACGGCAGCGAGACGACCTGCAAACTGTTGTTTTTCTCCACAGAAGGGTCACCATCCGGTGCGGTTATTTCTGGGTGATGTTGTGAGGATGCAGCTGCAGGCGCAGTGTTTAATAATATCACGTTCTCGTCCCCGGAAAGCTGCGCCTGGCGCTCGTGCGCGCCCTCCTGCGGATCCTCCTTTTTGTCCAGTATGCCGTCCCCGTTCTCCACTAAAAAATCCTCGCGGTTGTTTGGCGTATTCCCGTCGTCCTCGGGCCGCAACGGCCGGTCCAAGGCGCCCTATCAAATGTAAAAATGTCTGGGTCTGGAAGAATGCAACTTGTCATGCTAAATCTGAAGCATGCAAAAATCTGTGTTGCATGATTGCCAAAAGCCGTCCAGTTTTGACCAAGTCGGGAGGCAGTTTCTCATGCAGGATAGGCATGAGAAAGATTGCACAGAAACTGTCATGCTAAGTCCTGCATTCCAGACCTCATGGGTCATGGAAAAGCTGCATGACAAATCGCGCATTCTTCCAGACTCAGACATTTTTACATTTGATACGCCCGCCTCCTGCGCGATGGTGGATTTCTTCTGCGGCTGCGGGTCCCCGTTTTTGTTGTTGAAGTCGTGCAGGTATGAAATGCAAACATGTCTGGGTCTGGAAGGTTACCAGGTCTGTCATGCATACTTTGCATGACCCGCGACGCCTGTAATGCATGCCCTAGCATCACAGATCTTGAGAGGGCTTCCTGATGCCTATTCCGCATGAAAAATACCCTCTCCGCGTAGCACGCACTCGACTTCTCTTGCTGGTCATGCAATGCAGATTTTTTTAGAATCGAAAGACAGCATTCCAAGTTCCAGTCTTTCCAGACCCAGACATATTTGCAGTTGATAGCAAGTAGTGGCTCAGGTCGGTCAAACTCGGGTCGCTGTCCTGGTCTAAGAGCAGTTGTTTGTTCTGCGACGCTGGATTTGCGCTGCTGGATTTCTGCGTCAGCATCCCGCCACTACTCGCTCCCGCTTCCACGCTCGTTGTCCCAGAATTCGTATTATTCCCGGCACCTGGTGCTGAAGGTGCTGGAGGACCACCACTTAATCCACCGTCGGCAGTGTTACTGCTCCCTTCGCCGGCACCAGCTGCTTCTTCGTCCGGCGGCGTGTTCTTCCCGCCCGTCCCAAACGGGGACAGTTGGTCGCGCGGAATTTCCAAGTTTTCAAATGTGTGATCCAGTGCAAATATCCCTGGATGTTGTCTGAAAAGGTGCAATAAACTTGTGATGCTCTTTTTCAGCTACACAAAAATCTGTCATGCGTGAGCAGCAAAACCTTTCATTTTTGGAGATGACGCTGAGAGAGGATTGCTTCTCATGCTGAGCAGCCATTCTCCTGGGGCTGGGGCATGCGAAACATACATGACAAACTTTGCATTTCTCCAGAGCCAGACATATTTGTATTTGATAGGTATTCGAGAGCTGCAACGTGTCTCCCCCGCCAAATCCATTTGAACTTGACGCACTGTATCCTGTGCAAAAGTATCGCACTCGTACTTCTAATTGCAGTTATGCATTACAATTCCAGTTGTTAAGTTGGATCAGCATGACAAATTGCATTTCTGATCGTGCTGAGCTAATTTGTAATGCAATTTCACTTACTAGTACGATACTTTTGCAATGCATACGCCGCCGCCTGCGTTGTTGTTCGTCCCGCTTGCTCCACTACCACCGGGGTACAGCAACTGCCCAAACTGCTGCTGCTCTCCCCTGCCTCCCCGCTCCTTGTCCGGAAGATCTTCGCTGGCCGGACTGCTGTCGATCGCTGGAATGTGAAAATTTGACTTGATGAAGCTCGGCTGCGCCCCGCCACCGCTTGTGGCCGCCCCGGTTCCGTGTTGTAGTTGCGCGTCGGGTTGCAGTCCCTTCTTTGGCCCGTAAGGCAGTTCTGAACTCTGCCGGCTCCGCGCGCTGTCCATCTGGTCCCAGGAAGGATATGGATCATTGCAAAAGTTGTATCGTTATCTACTAGTAGCGATTTTCATTTTTGAACGACAACTTCTAGTTCTATTTAGGCGGAGGAGCAAAAACAACACACAAACATTTTGTCATGCCGAATCCGGTCGGTGGACGAATAACACGTTTGTCACGCTGTAGTTCTCTTTCAACAACAAACCAGAATTCCGACACGCCTTTTGCACGGCAGGATAAGGGTAGTGGCACCACAATGTTCGCCCCGATCAGACTTTTATCCTTCGACAGCCCCAGGATGGCCCGATGCACGCCAGCAATCGCCTCGTCGAACTCGGAGTTCTGTATAACCCGGTCAGGTGTTACAATCTCAAACGTTACAATAGAATCTGGATTTTGTATTGCATGACGCGCATGACAGACTCGCAGAGCGCCAGCGCTCCTCCACTTTCTGCATGCAATACAAATTTCGGCAGATCCTAGTGCGGTTTGGGACTCGAGAACTTGTCATGCGCAATCCTGTGGGAGTAGGCTAGATCATGCACTCTTGCACTGCACATTTTCATATTCTACTGTAACGTTTGAGATTGTAACGTTTGAGCGGGTCATATTCTGTCGGTCCGTTTTCTGCTTCATGTGGTCGAATTCCTGCTTCGTGTACTGCTCCTGCTTGTACTGCCGCTCCTCGAACCGCTTCGACTGCACGAGTAGCTGCTCCTGCCAGTGGTTCGACGCCTGGTCCTGCTTTTCCAGCACGTGGTTCTTTGAACTGGTAATCTTGTCGTCCAGCGTGTTTTATGCATTGCAAATATGTCTGGGACTGGGACTCTGCAACTTGTCATGCTAAATCTGAATCATACAAAAATCTGTGTTGCATCATTACCATAAAATAAATGCTGTCCACTTTTGTTGATCAAGTGGAGAGGCAGTTTCTCGTGCAGGATTATATATAAGCATGATAGGGATCTCGCGGAATCTGTCATGCTAGATCCTCCATTGCAAATGAGATGGGTCATGGAAAACCTGCATGACAAGTCCAGCAGTCTTCCAGAGGACCCAGACATATTTGTATTTGATATGTTTCTCGTCCGTTCCACCGTTTCGAACAGGTCCTTCAGCTTCGCCTCCAGCTGGAGCATCTGCGTATCGTGGAGCTCGCACTGGCGTCCGTAGTCCAGCCGCCACTTCGCGACGACCTCGTCCACATACCGCGACATGCGCTCCGCGCGCTCGGAAGACTCCTTGCGGGACTCGCCCAGCGTCTCGGACAGCAGCCGTATATCAATCGCAAAAGTGTCTGGGTCTGGAAGGTTGGAGCTTGTGATGCTAACTCTGGACTCCAAAAAAATCTGTATTGCATGACCAGCAGGAGGAGTCTAGTTTGTGCTACGCGGGGAGGGCGTTTGTCATGCGGAGTAGGCATCAGGAAGCCCTCTAAAAACCTGTGATGCGAGGGCGCGCATTACAGACATCCTGGGTCATGCAAAATCTGCATGACAAGTCTCAGAACCTTCCAGCCCCAGACATTTTTGCATTTGATACCGGATCCGGTCGGACAGCTGCTCGAAAGCCGTGGCCTGCGACTGGGACAGGTTCTTCACTACTTCCCGCACGGACTCCGTCATTTTTCGCTCCGTCTCCATGCGGTGTCGCATCTCGTCCTTGAACAGAGTCTGATTTTGCGGGAAGGTAAAAAGGGGGTGAGCAATCGATTTATTATTAATTTTGCCATGCGCACGGCGAGTACAACGCGGAAAAAAGAGTGTCCTGATGCACGTTCGGCATTACAGATACAGTGTCCTCATGCACGTTCGGCATTACAGATCACCACAAAAAATCTTACCTGGACGTCGCGTATGTTCTCGTGCACTTCCCCCCGGATTTCCTTCACAGTCTCGAGCTGCTTGTTCTGAAAATCGTCTATTTTCTCGTACAAGACCGTCAGCCCGTCTTGTCGCAGCGTCTCTGTTCGCGCGATTTGCCCGACAACCTGTGGTGGATATTTCAACTTTCTTCGCATAAGCCCATGACTTCTCTTCTTGTGCAAGTATACCAAGGTGGATTTAAGAAATGCGGTTTGAACTTGAAGCTAGGTTAAAGTAGTAGTCGCTGGTGTGCAATTTCCTTTTGTAAATCCGTCAATCCGCATCACAAGAAATTCACCTGATTCAGTTTCGAGTCCACGACCTGGCGCAAGGCGTCTCGCTCGGCCTCCTCCCGTTTTTTGAACAGGTCCAAGTTGTTCATGGTTTTCAACTCAATGTCCGAAATCGAAACCGCGTTCAGACTGTCCACGCCTTGCAGCTCCTCTCGCATCTCGGCCTGCTTGGCGAGAATCTCGTGCTTTTCCATCTCTTATCCTATGTAAAAACGAGTCTCCACCCCATAGAAGTTGTCATGCAAATCGGCATGCTGAAAATGTTTCTCATGCGGAGCACCATGCGAAGCATTTTCTAGCTGTGTGTATTCGGAATTTGTGATGCTTGAATCAGCATAATAAGCTAGATCTGTGACGCTACTGCACTAGCCACACAGGCCTAGGCTACGAGGCCAAAAATCCTGTCATGCGTAATAGCCAAAGCGTGTCGATTTGTCTTGCAGATTTCCCAACTTGACTATGGGGTCGTGGGGACGTTTTTACACAGGATATCTCTATCTTCGACTGCATCACCTCCTGGCGCTGCTCGATATCAACTGCAAAAATGTCTGGGTCTGGAAACTTGTAATGCTGCGTTAGGAATAGTGAATGCTCTGATGTCATGCACAGACAAGCATGAGAAATATCTGCGCTTCGTTGTGTTGCGTTTTTCGCATGACAAACTGCGTTTTTGCATGACAGGCAAAAGAACAAAGGGTCTCTTCTTGGACACGCGTCAAAAACTTTTTGGTCATTCCAGACAAGCATGACAAATCTCAAAATCTTCCAGACCCGGACACTTTTACATTTGATACTCGAACAGGGTTAACAGTTCCTGCTTCTGCTGCGAGAGGTCCGTGTTCAGATTCGCAATTTTCTCTTCGTACTCCCGAATCACGGCGTTGCATCGTAAGGCAAAATCCCCCCTCCCCATATCGAAAAGGTATGCTTCCGAAAACTTGCGTTGCTGATTTGTGACCACGCATCGGGTCTGTCTTGCAAGAAGGCACGCTCAGGCTGTCCGCCACGTCATGCAGGCGATTTGTAATGCTGTAAGGCCTACAGGGTAGCCGTCTGCCATGTTAGGCGCCTACACCAAAAGGCCCCCACCTCGGCTCAGGATCTGCGTGTATTTCTCTACTGCAATACAAATTTGATTTGTGTATCCAAATCCAGCATCAGAAATTTCGTTTTGATATGGGGAGGGAAGATTTTTCCATTTGATACATTGCGAATCTTCTTTTCGTTTTCGTTCTCGATCACGTTCTCTGTGAAGTCCTTCGCCATTTGCGCGACTTGAGCCTAGAAGGAAAGTTGTTGAGGGATAAAGCATTTCAATGTAGAAAAATGATATGCCACCACACACATCCAGGCCAATGAGGAGGTCTATCGCTCTGCATTGCAAGACCAAGGTCTACTCCAAGAACATGGCAAGAAGATGAAGATTGACTGCAAAGATAAATAACCCAACGACGTGACGAGGACGAGGGCCACGAACACGATCACGATGTACAACGGATATGAAAATGTACATGTAGCACCCTAGTTGTGAAAACAAATAAGTACTCGCAACTGCTCCACGTGTTCTCGGAAGGCGAAGCCGCCGAGTTTCGGCTCGCCGCTCTCCCTATGCATTGCAAATATGTCTGGGTCTGGAAGGATGCGAGGTTTGTCATGCCCTTTTTGCATGACCCTTGATGTCTGTGATTCATGCCCCAGCATCACAGGTTTTTTGAGGGCGTCTTCATGCCTATTCCGCATGAGAAACGCCCTCTCCACGTAGCGAAAAATGGTCTCCTCTTGCTGCTCATGCAAGACAGACTCTTTTAGGATCCAAAGCTAGCATCACAAGTTGCATTTGTCCAGACCCAGATATATTTGCATTTGATACTCCCCGACATCGCCTTCCTTGCAGAGAATCGCGTTTTCGAGATTCACGATCCGCGCCCGTATGGATTGTAAAAATGTCTGGGTCTGGAAGAATTCATGTTTGTCATGCTTGTCTGGCATGACTCTTAGATCTGTCATGCACGTTACCCAAGAGCTCCGTTTTTCTGTGATGCAAAAGCGCAGTTTGTCATGCAGAATAGGCAACACCTAGGAGCTCAGAAACTTGTCATGCTGAGCCAGCATTTGTCGCTTCCTCATGAGACGGCGCCCAGCATCACAAGTTTCCAGACCCAGACATTTTTACATTTGATAGCCCGGGCGTCTTGCTTAAACGCAGCCGCATTGGTGTCCAAATCCTCCAGCGTGTTGTTGACCCGGCTTATACCCTCCGCGAGCTCCTCTTGCTGCCGCTTCAGCTCCGCGCGGGCGTCGTTTTCCTGGGAATAGAATTGGAATTGAACCGTAGAACGTACTTAACACGCGACTGTCGCGGTAAGCATCCTGGCGATCATGGAAATCATCTCGAAAGATGCAACTCATCATCCACGGCAACGCAAGTGCCAAAAGCACCATGATCTTCGAGGTCGCCTTCATTGCTCAATATGATCGACGACAACTACAGCTGCGAAGTTAGTAGCATGCGGTAAGTACTTCTAGTACTGCACTTCTACAAGAGCTACTCTACATCAAAGTATCATACCTGAAACTGGTGTTTTGCGAATTGGTTTTTTATCAACTGTTCTGTCTCCTGGCGCTGACGGTAGACAGACTGCACGGCGAAATCGCGAAAGTCATTCTGTAACCCCCGGACAGATTCGCGCACAGCAGCCTGGTCCCTCTCCGATCGCACGTTCTGCTCTTCGTGCTGGGTGAGCTTCCCTGTTGTAGGGTTTATTTGTATGTTGTTGTGCGCGAAACTGGTAAGTTGTAACGTAGACTTCTAGTAGGCATTTTTGCGAAAACTAGCGTACAAGTACACGTAGACCTACAACAACTAGAAAACGCATCACAGAAATTTTAGCGAACAGAAAAGTTGCGATTTGGAGAAGTTATAGTTATTTCAAAATAGAAAAGATGTTTTGTCATGCGTGACGGTATACTACAATAAGCATACCAGCCACGTCTTTGACGAAGCCACTCTGCCCTTCCTGAATGTCTCGGACCTGTAGTTGCACCTTGCGCAGGATTATCAAATGCAAACATGTCATCTGGGTCTGGAAGATTGCAGCCAGGTTTGTCATGTATATTGTGCATGACCCATGATGCCTGTAATGCATGCTCTAGCATCACAGATTTGCAGAGGGCTTCCCGACGCATATTCCGCATGAGAAATTCCCTCCCCGCGTAGCACAAACTGGACTCCTTCTGCTGGTCATGCAATACAAATTTTTTTAGCATCCTGAGACAGCATTACAAGTTGCCATCTTCCAGACCCAGACATATTTGCAATGCATAAGGATCTCCGCGTCTGTCCGTGCCCGCTCGTCGAGTTGCTGGCTGACGTTACTTATGAACTGCAAAAGTATCGCACCCACTCGTCGTATAAATGCATTACAAATTTCCTCAGCATGAGAAATAAAATTTGTAATGCGGACTGACCTTAAGAAAAGGATTTGTAATGCATCTTTGCAATACGAGTACGATACTTTTGCACAGGATATTACTCGCTTTGTTTTCCAGGAACGTCACGCGGTCGGTCAGCAGGCGGCACACCCGCTCCAGCGAGAAGATCTGGTTTTGCAGGCCCGTGTTCTGCACGGCGAGGTCGTGGCTTAGTTGCTGGTTGTCCTCGGAAAAGGGCTTAGCGAGAAAGTCCGCGTTTTGCTGGATTTGCGGGTAGTTAATATTCCTGTTCTGCTCTGGACCTCTGTCTGGCCCTCCTCCACCGGACGGCGGGTTCGGTGGTGGAACTGGTTGCAGCTGCTGCCGGTTGTTCAGCACATTTCCAGCACCTTGTGTGGCGGGTACAATTTGCTGCAGTCGGTTGTTTTGTGGATTCAGATCGCGGTTGGGATTGGGGTTGGAGAAGCTGTTCGGGTAGCTGGGTTTATTGTTATTCTGGTTGAACGCGAACTGGGGCGGCATGCCGACCACCTGGGGCTGGTTCTGGTTCATCGGCGCTAGTATTTGTGGCGCAGCCGCGGGGTTGTAGTTGGCAGGGTTTGACGGGCTTTCCGCGCGTCCGCCAGCCCAGGACAAAATGTCCCCCATCTGGGTGCGGTGCCGGACCGGGGGCAGCATGGTCGTGAGCGGCTGTCAGGCAATTTATTGCAGATGAAGCCCGTTTGTTCAGACCGTGGAGGAGATCTACTGTACTTGTAGACGGAAGAGTTTCTGCTCAGGCCCGCCACTGCCAAGTGCGTTCTTGCCAATGGTGGACTTCTGCTTTTAGCTGAACAGGCTGCAACATCATGATGACCGTGAGGACCCTGTCAGATTGACAAAAAGAATATATAAGAACGGCATGGGGTTTACATAATCTGTCACTGTTGTTGAATAAGAAGAACTACTATGCGTGGAGATGGACAGACGACGACAATCAGTCCTTCCACTGTTGTGATCTTGATTTTCAAATTAAATACGAAAAGAACTTGTAAACGATGTAAGTATAATTGCCTTACTGCGTCCTCGCCTCTTTTGAAGCAAGACTAACAAAACAACGTCGAACATTTTCAAATTTTATTTTTCACTCCGTTCTATTCCCCTCCCTCTCCGAGAACCAATCACCACGAAAAATTCCTTTCTTTCTATTCTCACGTCCACTCTACTATCCACCTCCTCGAGTGTCGAGCAGAGGGAAAATTAAATTGTCTCTCGCTTGTAGCAGCTTGCAGCACAACTACAACATCCCTCTCCGTCTGTGTGGTCGTGGCCGTTGTTTGATATCACAGCACTACATGCAGACGAAACGAAAGCGAATACGAAAGCTCCGTCCACGCATTACGACTAGAATACTGACGACAAGCCACGTAAAAGACGAGTCACGGCGAAAAATTATCTAGAACATCGGTGGCAGAAACCAGCTATGATCTCCGGTGTGGTCAGTCCGTGAAAGCAAATTGGCTTTCACCCAATTGACTTCGTGATGTGCGAAAAAATTTTGCGATCCATCTCATCCTCGTGCAACGATGGAAAAATTATGTACCATGTAATGTAAGACTACAAGTGCCGCTGCACTGTTTACTAAAGTGGAAGTACTGCGCTCCCTTATTTGACAGTGAGTTTTTACTTGCCTATTAGGGTGCGAAGTCTCGCAGTGGCTCCCCGCTCTTGCCCTTCTTTAGTACCGCAATTTCGGGGGTCCTCCAGAAATCGAGTCCCTAATTCTTTTCAACGGAGTCCTCCTCCTCGTCCCCCGGCTTAAGTACTTCTTCGTCTACGCGTCGTTTAGACTTTTGCTCAAACTGGCGTAGACCCGCGTTTTTCTCTTTTCCTTCAGCGCCCCGCTCGCCCTTTCCCGGCTCCGCAGCAGGCGCCGCTCCATCGCGGTCCGGGTGGACGCGCCCATGATGGTGCGCGCAAACACGTCGTCCTTCTGCTGTCGCTTCTGCCACACCCCCTCCTTTTTCTCCTTCGACATCGCGTCGTACTGGTCGAACCGCGCCATCAGGTGCGGCGGGCAAATGCGGTACCTGGAAATCGCGGGCGGCGGCTCGGGCAGGTACCGGATCCCGGTCGGGTGCTTCTTGCTGAAAAAAAGCGGCTCCTGCCCGTCCTTCCGGGTGTAGGTGCGCGCCACGAACTCCTGGTCGCCCTTCACGGATTTCGGGGATTCCGCGAGCTTCCTCGCCCGCTCGCGGTTCCGCACGAAGTCGGGGTTTTCTAGGTTCTTCAGGCGCGCGTCCCGCGCCGACCTGGTTTCCTCCAAAACCTGCTCTACCGGCCGCGACAAGATGCTCGACGTGGTCGCAGCGTGGTGCTTTTCCGCGGCGCGCAGCTCCTTGGCGCGCATCATGCCGGTGGCGGTGAGCGCGCGCTCCTCGAAGTTGAAGATATCGCGGCGGAACCGAAAGCGGTCGGACCGCTTGTGGTCGGGGACCGAGGCGGGTCGGTCGCTGTTCGTGAAATCGATTTCGTCGAAGATGGAGGGGAACCCCGGGTCGTCGTACACGATGTCCTTGCGGGGCAGGGGCGCGGGCGGCAGCCGGTAGCACTTCCGTAAATTGTTCTCGTCGTTTTCGTTGGAGGCGTTTTTCAGGATGAAAAACTGCTCCCGCTTCACGCCCGGGAAGTCCACGCCCACGCTGTTCTCGCTGACGTCGAGTTTGTGCTGCGAGAAGTGCTCAGGGTCGTTGTAGTTCTTGCGCTCCAGTTCCCTTCTTGGGTACGGAAACACGCCGGTCTGCACCTCGCACCGGGTGGTGCCGTAGGCCAGGTTGGACTGCTTCGTGTACAGCGCATTCACAGAGGGCTCGGTGGGTGGCTGGTACTGTCCCACGCCGAGCACCTTCTCCGAAAGCCGGGCGACGGCGGCCATAGATTCGTGGTTAGGTGCTGGAGTTGGAACAAAAATTCGATTTCGAATGGATGTCTCTGTCGCAGTACTTCTACTTACATTTTTTATTTTACTATTTCATAATTATTTCAGGTCGACTATGATTTTGGTTGGGGCAATTGTTTGAACAGGAGGGTGCCGTGGTGCTACGCTCTTTTAAAGGGGATGCCTGCTCGTAGCACAGTTCCTGAAAACCAGAAGGCAAGAAAAAGAGTTCAATAATTGTCAACTCACGAGGACGCTCTTCCTCTTTCATCTCAAGAGTAAGCTAAGTACGCACATACGAAATAAAAGTTAGTAGTTGTCATAGGACGATGAGGGAAAGAACGCGAACGGTATCGAATGATGTTGCTCATGCTGTGTGGTTCTTATTCTTATACCGAGGCAGCTTGTTTTTTCGCACGAAACCGATCCTCTCTGTTCTTCTCTTCGCACGAATGGGTCACTTTTTCCAGGACGATGAAAACAGATGTAGATGACGTGGAACCGACAACTCTTTGTAAAAATATGGACATCTTCACGGAGGAGCGAAACACAGATAGTTTAGAGCTGAATCAAAAGGAGCCGAATCGACGTGACACCGTTTTTATCACGGCCGGCTCGAAATTCAAACTTATGTGGTTCTAGAATACAACACGCTTATGCGCTCCTACAAGAACACGGATGAGGTTTCTTGTCAACTCCGCGCGATGTTCTTCGTCCGCTAAAGATGATCCGTACGTGGTTGTTGCCGTTCTTGCCGAAAAATACAGGACAGAGTCATCAGCCCGGTTTCCACCTCATGTCCAACGACAGCATCGTGTTCTGCGGCTGCTGGCGCAACACCTGCACCAATCGCGACAAGTTGCTGGAGAACGTGCCGACCGCAAAAGTAGCCTTCGTGAGCAGAATCACCTCCGCCCAGAGTCGGTAGAGGTCTTCCGCGCCGGTCCCGCGCTTCGGGTGACTCCACTCGGACTCCGCGAGCATTTTGGCCGTGTGGTGGATGTATGAACTGCAAATATGTCTGGGTCTGGAAACTTGTATTGTAATGCTAAAAGTGAATGATAGACAAATACGCACTGCAACACGCTGCCATGTCTTACGTATTCGTATTCCGTGCGGCAAACTGCGTTTTTGCATGACAGGTAAGAGGGCCTTTTCGTGCCTATGCAACACAGACTCTACTCGAGTCATGTCAGACAAGCATGACAAACTTGCATTCTTCCAGACCCAGACATATTTGCATTTGATAGGATGTTTTCTGCCTCGGATAAATCCACTTCGCCGCTCACCAGCTGGTCAACCAACTCCGTCGACGCACTAGAAGTTGTACTGTCGGCGTTGTGCGGTTGCTGCTCGGCAGGTCTGGTACTGCTCTGATGTTGGTCCTGCTCGTGTGGTCCTTTATTTTCCCCTGCCACTTCTGGTGGGAGCCCTCCTCGTCGGTCCTGATCGTTCTGGTGCCCCTGAAAGAACACCGCACTGTCGGATATTACCGCTGCCTTAGTCGTACCTCTGTTCGTTTGAGTTGTTGTATCACTTGCACGATCTTCTTGATCGCGACCCCCAGAAAGCTCACCACGAGGACCATCTTCCCGTCGACAAAACGACGCGAGCGTCCATCTGTTCCTCTTGTACGCATCACAGTTTTGGTATCCCACAGAAAAAAGCAGGCAGGGCATATTTGTAATGCAAAAATAAATACACAGGAAAATCTGTCATGGGCGAGGCCATAGCATCCTGTTTAGGGCATGCAATACAGATTTTTTTGTCTATTTATTTTTGCATTACAAATATGACCTGTCGGTCTTTTTCTGGAGCATATTTGGAAATCCACGAGCTTTGTGCAGTTGTCGGTCGCCACAAAGACGGTCCGGATCTTCGTCGGCAGCTGCCAAGTTGTGGTAGAGTTGCTACTCTTGTCGAAATACACCCTCTCCTCGAGCTCCTCGTCGTCGTTTTCTTCTTCCTGCTCCGCTTCAGGTGGTTTTTCTTGTACTTCGTCTTCAGAAGTTCTCTCGGCTGTAGTTGTAGTATCGTGTGCTGCACCCCCGTCTTGCTGCTCAGCCCTGTTCAACGTCTTTTCCTTGTGTGTACTTCGGAATTCGCGCAAATTGCGCAAGCGGTCCACCTCGGACGTGGTGTCGTCCATTACGGAAGCGACCTTGTTACGCGCCTTCAGTTCCTTATGCTGCAAATCTTCGTAATCCGATTCGCCCTTGTAGCGGCCCTCCAGCAATTCCGTCATGCTGAACTCCTTCTTCTTCTTCACGTGCATGGAATACGGGTTCAGATCTGGAGAAATAGATACTGTTTTACTTGAACATTTACTTTTAGAATTATTTGGCATAAGCTCATAGAAGCTTCTCAAGTTTTCGACCATGATCGATCAAACTACTTTTAACGGTACTCCGAACAAGTGACGTCAGTCAATGCAGACTGAGAAGCGAGTCTGAATTCCTCGTTCTTTTCTACATCACAAGAGCCCAAAAAAATAAATTAAGTGCAAGTTTATACTTCCGTCCTCATACAGCCGTTCCAGGCTGTTGTGCCACCCGCCGGGCGTCTTCAGCAACCGCTCCCTTTCCTTTCGATCCGGAGAGTAAAATCGCATCATCAGCTCCAGCTTGTCGGCGTAGTGGCAAACCCCGTGCCGAAAGCGGCCAACGTTGTCCGTTGATCGAATATGCATCCCGGCGAACGGACGCAGCACCACGGCGTCTTGGAAAATTTGGTCAACATCGCCTTGCAGCTCTGTTGTCGTAGATGAAATCCCGCCTGTTCTACTACTTTTCGTGTCCACCACGAAAGACGGGTCTTCTTCGTGGTGCGCGTCGTCGGTAGTAGTTCCAGCTTCTTCCAAGACCCCCACCCAGGAATGGAAATCGTTATAGTTCGAGGACACTTGTACTTCTGCGGTTGTAGAAAGTGTACCACCCTCTGTTCTTGAGGATGCTACACGACCAGCTACACCGACCACGTTCTTGGCGGCCATCAACATCCTATCACCACTCTCCTGATGTTGCTTCTGCTGCCCCACGACATGATGATCCTGCTGAGTTGCAGTAGTAAAATCTCGTCCCACCTGCTTGTTCACCAAGTCTGCAAACTATTACAATGAAAAATGCCTCCACCCCCGAACTTGGGAGCATTTGTATTGCAAACCTTTCCAAATGAAACACTCGCCCTCTTGCATCTATCAGCGTCACAGGTTTTCAATCGTGAATAGCAAAAGTTTGTATTGCAAAAGACCCCAGCAAGAGCGGCACTTGTCATGCAAGCGATGCGATACGCGCCTACATTCTGCATCAGAAAGATTCACACTCCTTTCATGCATGGCAAAAAGTTTTCATTTGGAAACTTCGCATTACAAATTTCTGCAATTTAGGGGTGGGGGGCACTTTTCACTGTAATACAAACCGGTACTGCTTCAGGTTTTCCGAGGACAAGATGTACTTCTCCAGAATCACGTGTAAAACGTCCGGCTGCACCTTCAACACGCGGCGCGCAATCGCCCGGTACATGTACAGTTCGTCCCGCGAACACACGTCCATCTCCTCCCGCGGGGCTTGTTCCCCCAGCAAGAACCGGCTATGGAAGCGTCAGGATTGAAATCGTCAAAGTTGAAATAACTTGTAATGCACAAAATCGATGCCAGTTGGAACTGGAAGCCCAATTTCCAAGCGGTGCATGACAAATTTTCCGAGCACCGGAATCCAATTTGTCATGCTGTTTGGGCACAAGCGACTGCTGTTGTCATGCCACTTTAGCAGCTCTATTTCAAACCCTAAACAGGCTGACGGTCGGCCTCGCTTGCCATCCCGGCAAGACAGGCGCTTCATGCCTTGCATTTTATGCATGACAAATCATTTCAGCTTTGTCGATTTCAAACCTGACGCTTCCATACCGGCAGGCCGCGTAGTAATCCGGTTCGAAGACCGACTATCCCAGAGAAAAACAAAAAAGCTGACAGGGCATATTTGTAATGCAAAAATAAGTACACAAAAAAATTTGCTATGGGTGGCCCCATAGCATGCTGTTTCGGATATGCATTTTTTGTGTATTTATTTTTGCATTACAAATATGCCCTGCTAGCTTTTTTCTGTGTGATACCCACCCGTCGCTGTTCATGGTGCGGAACTGGCGCCCGCACTTGCTGGCCGGCTGGAAGTATGCATTGCAAAAGTATCGATCGTACTCGTATAAATGCATTACAAATTTCCTCAGCATGAGAAAGAAAATTTGTAATGCGGGTTTACCTCAAGAAAAAGATTTGCAATGCATGATTGCAATACGAATACGATACTCCTGCAGTTCATAGGAAGAAGCAGTGCGGGTGGCCGCGGTGCTCCACCGGACAGGAGTGCTGGGACAACTGGAACCCGTGGCCCACGTGGATGGCGAGGTTGGTGACCCGGAGCCAGGTGTTGATCCGGGATCCGTAGCCGAGGTGGCCACTCATCATCGGTCGGTTGAGAAAGATCGTCCGCGTCGGGATGATCGTGCCGCCGCACCCGTCGGTTTTGTGCGCAATCCGCCACGTGTTCTCGGATTGCAAGTTTTGCTCCTTGGTGATCAGGCGGCGGAGGTTTATTTGGTCTGAGTTTATTTCGTCGGCGGAGGTAGATGTTGAAGGGTACTCGAAGAGACCGTCAGCCCCGTGGCCACTGTAATCTACGACCACGACCGGCTGCTTGCGGTCGTTCTGTCTCTCTTTTTCTAGTTCCTCAACGTGATTCGAAATGGACTTGCAGCTACAAAACCGGCCACAGGAGGTTTCGTTGTACCAAGCAACCGAGTATCAAATGCAAAAATGTCTGGGTCTGGAAGGTTGCAACTTGTGATGCTATCTTCGGATCCTAAAAACATTTGTATTGCATGACCAGAAAGAGGACCTCACTTTGTACTACGCGGGAAGGGCATTTGTCATGCGGGACAGCCATCAGGATGCGCTCCACAAGTCTGTGATGCTAGGCCATGCTTTCCAAGCATCATGGGTCATGCAAAATATGCATGACAAACCTGGTTACCTTCCGGACCCAGACATTTTTGCATTTGATACCGAGTCCTGTCCGACCCAAACCGTCCCGTCCGACGTGATATTATGGATGTGTCAGGATTGAAATCCTCAAAGTTGAAATGGTTTGTCATGCATAAAATGCGACACAAAGACTGACTCTATTGCAGAATGCGCAAGGGAGGCAGATTCTAGTGCTGGTAAGGGTCAAGAATTGGGCTGCTGGTTAGCATGACAGAAGGCAGCTCTTTTGCCCTAAACCGCGTGACAGACTCGCTTCCAGGACCGGGAAAATTTGTCATGCACCGACTACAAACTGCAGGCCTAACTGGTGTCCGTTTTATGCATGACAAACTATTTCAACTTTGACGATTTCAAACCTGACACATCCATAGATATTCCCGCCCGCGTACTCGCAGGCGCTGCCGAGACAGAGCTGGTCCAGCCCGCAAAAGGTGAGCTTGTGCCCGTCGATTTCGACTCGGTGCTCGTTCTTGTAGCCAGACACGAGCTATCAAATGCAAATATGTCTGGGGTTGCGAGATTTGTCGTGCATATTTCGGATCACGAAAATGGTGTCTGATGCAGGCAAAAGCATCAGAGGTTTTGAGCACGCCTCAGGATGCCTGTCTTGCATGCGAAACTCTGTACTTGGGCAGCTTTTGGCGCTCATGCAACACAAATTCTTGTGTGTTCCAGAGTCTGCATCACAAGTCCCAGCCTCCCAGACCCAGACATGATTGCAATGCATACGAGCCCCGGAGGACGCTGTTGGAGGAGCCGGAGGTACTGGTCGGGATCTACTGCAGGAGTAGAAGAAGTAGTGCCGGAAAATGGTTTCTGGTTAGAAGTACCTGTAGTTGCAGTATTTGATGTAGGACCTAGTACCCCACTGGCTTTATTCGCAGCTCCGTTTGCAGCAGAAGTACTTCTCGCGCGTTTCGCCCCGCCGTAGCGCGCGAGCTGCTCCTCGCTTGTAGTCGCATCTCCGTGGTCCGGAATTCTGGTACTCTCTGCTAGTACGACAGATGACGTGCTGCCGGCAGAAGAACTATCTCTTTCGTCACGCCCCAGCGTCGCCTTCATTGCGGACAGCTTTGACGGCGCACTATTGGTCGTTCCTGTAGTAGCTGCAGCATTGTCAAGATGAGGCCGTTCTTGTTCCACCGTGCCTGCTGCTGAATCTGATGAAGTCCTCGTCGTGCTAGACGTACTGCTGCCATCGTGGATGTCCCCGTGTTGCGCGAGGAAGGCGTTTTTCTGAAACTCAAACTCCTCGGCAGCGGTCGGCGCGTCGGTGTATAGCTCCGCAATTTCAGCTGTAGATAAATGGCTGTGCGAACGGAGCGACTTATCTCGCTCCTCCTGACGCTGTTGTTCTTTCTCTTCCTGACCATTCTCAAAAATGCGATTTTTCCAGTCCTGTGTGTAGATTCGCTGGAGCAACTCCCGCTTTCGCTGCTGCCGGGCGAAGCGCTGCTCCACGGTGAGCCAGTAAATTCTGCGGTCCCGGCCCATCTGCTGGCGGACCAACGCCTGCGTGCGTATCAAAATGAAAAATCCCCCCTCCCCATATCGAGACGAAGTCTGTGTTGCTGGATTTGCGTACACAAGTCAGATTTGTCTTGCTGAAGAGGACTGCAGGGCCACGCCAAACCTGAGTAGAGAGGTTTTGACCTAGGCGCTTAGCATGAGAAACGTGTGCGCTATAGCTAGGCCAGACAGCATCACAAACCGCCTGCATAATGCGGCGGAGCCTGTGGAGTTGCCTTCTTGCAAGACAGAGATGATTTGTGGTCCCAAATCAGCATTACAAATTGTCTGCGACGTACCTTTTCGATATGGGGAGGGGGAATTTTTCCCCGCGATAGTGCGGCGCAGGAGCTCATGCCGGTTGTGTGTCTCGTTTGCGTACAGAAAAGCCAGGCCCTGTTCCTCTTCCCAGATGGGGGCGGCGCGCACGGGGAGGGTGGTCTGCGGGTCGTTGCAACTGAGGATCAAAAACACGCAGGACAGGAGACGAAGGAGGAAAAGCAGAACAACGTTAGTAGAAGTGTTGGAGATCTTGATGAAGGGTGAAAAATGATAAGCCATCAGAGCATTCTTGTCTTCCACGAAGTTGAGGTGTCTGGAGCAGTCGAGATGATAATTATATCTGCACCGAGAACGAGACGAAGAGACTTATTTCTTCGCAAGAACAGTAAACAGGATCAACTCAATATACAAAACAAGAACTAGCGACAGAAGATTCTAGTACAACATTTATTCTTAGCACGGCTTCGGAATCTTTAGCTTTAAGAGAAAGAGTAACCGCAGACCACAGAATCGCACTTTACTACGAGGGAGCACCGAGGGCGCGAGGAAGTATTAATTTGACACGAGAAAGCAATGACTCCCGCGTCCGAACAAGTGGAGAGAGCCAGACGTACACCTCGTGATGAACCGGCTACCGTAGAAGAACACTATCCAAAAGGGCGGAATGACCCCGCATCCTCGCGTTCCTTCGTATGAGACGAGTTGACCGCTTGTGCTGCGCCATGAATTTTTATTTTTCAGAAAAAAAAGAACGGGTTTAGGTTTTCGTCTCGGCTTCTCATCTTCGCTTGACCAAATCCAATAGGCTGCTTTCGTTAATATCGAAGATCGCAACCAAGAATCGAATTGTCATGTACTATCGAGGTCACTATGGACAACGACCCTTGTTGTGCTCATGCCTTTAGGAATATCAAGAAATTGACGCATTCGAATTTCAATTCAAAATACTTATGTTGTGGTGCACAGAGTTGTATCTTTTTCGCGGTCGTTTTGAAGTGTCATGTGCAACCGCCTGTCACACTCTACTTGCTCAGAGGCAGGACATCATCATCTAAATACCTATCCAAGCCGCTCAACGTACGACTTCCCTCTTCTACTGCAACCCCGCGAACGCGTCATAAAACCGCGGTAACACGTCTTCCACAAACTTCTCATACCCCACGGCGTCGACCCTGCTGACGCTGAGGCTCTGCCCGTTCGAAAAGCCCTTGCGCTGGTCCCAGCTTACGGTGTCGAATTCTGGTTCCACAAACTCCTGAAACAGAACGGAAAAAGCCGCTTTCGCCTTTTCCTTCTCGTCCGCGCGGGAAAAGACAAACGGCTTGATCCCCTCCTCCCAGTACTTCTGCGCCTCCGCGACCGTGAGCCACGCACTCGTCTGCATCCTATACATTGCAAGAGTGTCTGGGTCTGGAAGATTGCTGACGTTTGTGCTGCTGTGTCTGCTTGACACAGAAGGTGTGCCATGCAAGGCCTAGCATCACAGGTTTTGAGACGGCTTCCCAATGCTTAATCCGCATGACAAACACCTTCTATCGGCGACAGGAAAAGGAGCTCCCTTTGCTGTCTAAGCATGACATATTTTTGTGTGATGATCCAAGTACGCATCACAAGTTCGCATCCTTCCAGACCCAAACATTTTTGCATTTGATACATCCACTGGTCCAGCGAAAACTTGTGCGCGAAACTGTGTCATCATCTGCAAAAGTGTCTGGGTCTGGAAACTACAGGTGATGCTGGTTTGTGCATGGTGGGCGCACTGCGTTACGCAGCCACACATGACAAGTTTCTGAGCTCCTATGGTCTTCGCTTCCCGCATGACAAACTGCGTTTTTGCATGACAGGTAAGAGGCTGCTTTCCTGCTCATACATGACAGATTCAAGAGTCATGCGGGACAAGCATGACAAACTTGCATTCTTCCAGACCCAGGCATTTTTGCCCTTGATATGTGTACGACGCGAAACAGCGTTTTTTCCTGGTTCACTTTCAGCTTGAAAATCAGCATCCCGTGCCCGGTGTTGTTGCCGAAAGCGTAGCCGAAGGTGTCCAAGTCCAGAATCAGTGTGTCGATCGTGGGAGTGAAAGCTGCAGCCGAAGGCGTAGTTGTAGTTTTTTGCTCCTCTTGTTCTGTCACCCGACCTCCTACTTCGAAAAACCCACCGACATCGGCGACAAAATCCTTGAACACTTTCCACCCGCGCTGCTCGAACGACTGACGCACTTGAGCCGGCATCGTAATCGGTTTGCTCCCCAACTGGTCGGCAAAAGAGTAGAACACCTGTTTCTTCTTCGGATCAAAGTACGGTGCGCTGATGGCGTGTCGGATGCCGTTCGGCGCTCCGCCCGCCACGCGGAGCAGGTACTGCATCAGATGGCTGGTGTGCTTGCAGTGCGCGTGCTCGCCGGTCATCTGCTTGTACTTGTACATGTCCGGAGACAACACCTCGAGGAAGTTCTTCGGGAGCTGGTGTTTAAACGGCGACGCGGGGTGGAACGGGTCTTTCACCGGATTGCCCAAGAACGCATCCTCGGGCCACGTCCACTGCCCCGTCTGCGGGAACCGCTGACGGGACCCAAACGCCCGCGCCACGTCGGCTTTCGCGTACTTTTGCAACATTTGCTCAAACTTGTCCAAGCGGGACGCCGCGGTGGCTTCCGCCACCTTCCGCAGGGCGTCGCTTTTGATTTTATTCTTCACCGATTTGGTAGTAACCTCCGTGAAACCCAATTTGTTCAGCTGCTCGGCAAGCGCAGGAGCCTCGGCGTTCGGCGCGGACTCCAACAGATTGGTCAGCGTGATTACCCATTGCTGCTTCGGCTTCGGCTCAACAAGCTCTGGGCTTTTTTTTTGCTCTTGTTCCGTGGTTGTCGCTTCGGCTTCGGGCTGAACTTTTGCTGCTTCTGGCTTAGTTTGCTTCTGCTCCTCTGCCATTGTGTCGTAATAATACGCTGAGTGAATGGAAATTTTCTGGCAACTAGCGAATGAAATAGAAATTGTTTGTTGGCTTGTGTCTAAGAAAGGTAGGAATATCAGAGACGCACACGAACCTATGCATGCGGTCCATGTTCGCGAGAACCACAACCACATAGGGATTGGGTAGTTGTAGGTATTTTTTCGTCCGGAATTTCTTGTTCCCGCGAATATATACTGGCACTTCTTCTGGATCGCAAAATGATGTAATGTATTTACCCAAACGGTACTGCTACTGGAGTTGTACTCTCGTCATAAATGCGAATGTAGTAGTGAAGACTTCTCGAATATGGACGAAACTTATGCTGGGCCTGATCGTCCTCGTTGATACATTTACATTGTCGTTCCATAAAGGAGTCAAAAAAAAAAAACAGAGGCCACAACTCAGTCCACGCGGCACCCCCAAAGATCCTGCTAGCTTGTATTGTCAACAACAGCAGCGGCGCATTGTTAGACACAAACTTCTGATGGAAGGCAATACAACATTTCTCAACATTTCTGTCGCGGACGCTCAACGATCTTGCAGAGTCCGACGACCGGCTCAACGATCTTGTAGCCACCTGCCTCGCGAACCAGGATTCCAGATCTTGTCTTCGAACAGCGAGCAACAGAATCCAAACAGACAGCAACATGCACGCATGGTCTAGATTGCACCTTCTGCCAGGAAATAGGCGTCGCGACCATATCTGAGATATGGATACCAAATTCACTGCCTGACGCGGGTGGGTGCGCCCGGGCGGGCGGCACGACTCAGACTTCCACGAAGGATTCTCGCGTCGCCCCCGGGCCGAAAAAGCCGCCGGGATCCGGCCGCCCGGCGCCGAGGGGCTGCATGCATGCTGGCGCCCCTTTGGTGAAAGGGGGGGGTTGGAGCAACTTCCCGGGAATTGGCCGGGCGCGACCCGGGCGTGCTGCGCCGGGGGTGCCTGCGGTCCTGGCTGCCCTAGCCGAGCGCAGTGCCGGGGGGGGCTGGAGGAAGAAGGGCCGGGCCACGCTTGCCTGTCTGAGAGAAAACACAGGCAAGGGCGGGTCCCTGGCCGGGCACGTCGCGGCCGGCCGGGCGAGCGATCGGCGCGGAGGCCCAAAGAAAGGCCCCGTGCCTGTCTGATAGATAGGGCCGGCGGGCCGGCCCGCCGGGGCCGCGCTCCTCGGCGCTCATGCATACCGGGCGGGGGCGTCGCTGACCGCGACGGCACTCGGTCGCGTTGACACACTCTCACTCCACTGGGGCGCGCTTCGGTAAAGAATTCGCCACCGCCTCCCCAAGGGCTTGCCCGCGCCCTGCGCAATGAAGAGGAACACCGCCCGGGGCCACATTGACCTAAGTGCCCGCCGCGCGCCGAAGGACCACAACCGAGGGAATAGGGTTGGGTTGCCTTCAAAATCGGCCTTGGTCATGGCGGCGCCTTCGATATCACACCGCAGCGCATTCAAATCCCCCGCAAACAGGACGCGAGTGCGCTCCCTCGACGTTGGGCACGGCGGCATGCGTGGCACTAGGCGCGCCACCGTCCGCGGCTATGACGCGCGCGCCTTGTGCCAACGCGCGGGGCGGGCGCTTCCTTGCTTGCCCCGTTTGGCCGGCCGCCCCACTGACTGGACCGCCCGGACTTTGGCGCCGGGCCGGGCCGGGCCTGCTGCAGGCCGGACCCGGAGCGCTCCGGGCTTGGGCGCTGCGCCCTTCGCCAACAACTGCGCCCCCAAAAGCCGCGCCGAGCTCTTGCCATATGGCTCCGCCTAGCAAGTGGCCGCCTGCCGCTTTTGCTCCACCCGCGGGCAAATCAAGACACACCCACACGCCCCGCATGCGGCCTCCAGATTCCTCGGCAGGATGGATGGGAGCCCGGGCAAAGGCCTCCGCTTTCGAGGAGTCAATGGGGGTCGGGGGTCGCCCACGCAGCGGCGGGGGCTTTCGTCTTCTGCCAGCGTGCGGCGGCGTCGAGCGGCGCCAAGGATTGCCCGAGACAATCCTCGCAGGGGCGGCCAAAAAAAACCCAGCGAAAAAAGAAATGCGGAGCCTCAGCTGTCTTTTGTGTCGAAGCGTCAACAGCAAGTCCGCCGTGTTTTTTTTTCTACGCTTCTTTTTCACCGCCATCTTCACAGAACACACAACCTCCAAGCATAGTGGCAACTGCCGTACAACGAGCATTGTACCTACCTGCTATAAAAGCAAGCGTTTTGTTACGATTTTTCGATTTTTTTGGAATTTTTTTCGAAAAGAGGTTTGAAAAAGTTTAATGTCTGCATCCATGTGTTGCGCAAGAAAACCTAGACTACTACAAACATCGTGGTCGCTTCAACTTTAACTGCAGTTGGCCATATCGCTGATCGAGTTAAAGGCCACAGCCTGATATAATTACGTAGTAACGCAGACGCAGAGGAGGAGGCATTGCAATCTCCAAGGCTGTGTAAGTAGACATAAAATGCCACTTTTCTTCGGACCCTCTCAAACATAATTTGAAATTCCAAGCATGAAAAGGCTACAATGAATCATACAGGTACCTAAACTTTGGAAAATAGTTTATGTCAGGACAAGCCTAACAGCGAGGTCCGTCGCTATTTTTGCGCCATACATCTCCTCCATCTGTGCTGTTAATACGATCGCAGTAGTACAGCGTCAAAACGTAAGGTCTATAATTGGATCTCGATAGCAGGCCCGCCAGCACCACAAGTACCTTTTGAGTGGTAGCTCCGTCAGCGATTCCATCATTTAGTAGCTTTCGTGTGCCCAGTTTTAATGTGACGCGAAGATGTAGCACTAGTAAAGGTATTTCATGCAATTGCAATACAAGTGCTGCGTGTGCGTTGTGTGTATGTGATAATTTCTTCGCGCAAATCCATATGAAATTTGCATGTGCGTAGTTGCGTGTAGTTCTATTTGTTGTTTGTTTCGATTCTTAGTGTAGTTCTGGTTTTGTGTTGTAGAAGTTTTTGATAAAAATGACGGGCCTAGCGGTAACAAATAATCTGTCGCTTTTCATTACCGTCAGGCTCAGGCCCTCGTGTTGTTGTAAAGTTGTATATCCAAATATTTGTGTTGCAGTTTCGTTGTTGTTTTGCAGAAGTGCTAGTGATAGTAGGGAGTCGTGTTTTTTTGTTGTGTTCTGTTCCCCGTGTTGCGTTCTTGTTCTTTGACGTTGACATTAATGGACTTATAGCATTTCGTACGGTCGATTTATTGGTTCGATTCACAGCGTCTCAGATGCGCGGGACTGTCAGCTGAGCTTCGTGGTCTGGTCTCGTGCTTCTGCTGCGATACGTAGAGTGGTTTCTGTATCTGTTCTCATGCTGGGTTTGCATGACTATCGTCGTTTGTTTTACAGCAGCAGCACTGGTCTACTTGGTTGTTTGCGCGACGTGATGAAAATGGTTTTCGTTTTATTGCCGTGAAGATAATGTTTGCATTCATCTTGCAGGTGCTTGTTGTGTTACATCGACTCTTGTCGTGGTACAGAAAACTGCACTTCTGGACGTGGACTTGCATAAAAAGAAAAAGTTGTTGCGATGAAAACAGTAGTAAATAAATGAAAGTGGCAGTACCGTAGCAGTTATGCGAGCCAAGTACTACTTCTTCCAGACATGGTGTTCAAAATCGGTTCAAATCGGGTTAGTTGTGATCTCGTTCAACATTATTTCTCGTAGTTGTCCCCGAATTTTTCAACTAAATCATCGCTGCAGTCCTTCTCCATTCCCGGAATTCCTGCCCCCGCCGGGTAGGTGGTAACTGCTTTTTCTTCTGCTGTTCACGGCGGCAAGGCCCTTTAATCAAATGCAAAAATGTCTGAGTCTGGAAGATTCTGAGACTTGTCAAATGCATGTTTTGCATGACCCACTATGCCTGTAATGCACAGGCTAGCATCACAGATTTTTAGATGGCTTCCTGATGCCTACTCCGCATGACAAACGCCCTCCCCGCGTAGCACAGCCTAGACTCCTCTTGCTGGCCATGCAATACAGATTTTTTTAGGGTCCAATGTTAGCATCACAAGTTCCAACCTTCCAGACCCAGACATTTTTGCAGTTGATACCTTTTCCAAGTCTTGCATGTCCATGTCGCCGTCCTCCTCGTGGTAAATGCTATCCCGCTAGTTATAACCCGCTCAGGTGTTACAATCTCAAACATTACAATAGAGTCCGAGATTTGTCTTGCATGATGAGCATGATCTAGCCAACTCTCATAGGGTTGCGCATGACAAGTTCCGGAGCTCCAAACCCCACGAAAATCTGGCGAAATTTGTATTGCAAAAGGGGGAACGCTGTGCGAGCCTGTCATGCCTATCATCCAACACAAACTCCAGATTCTATTGTAACGTTTGAGATGGTAACCGATTTGAGCTAGTCATACTCGTGTTCCTCGATTTCTTCCTCCAGTGCCTCGTGGTCCTTCAGTTCGATGGCGTCTTTGGATAACCTGGCCTCCTGCATGGCTTTCGCCTGCGCCTTCGCCTGCTCCTTGGAAAGGTATCAAATGCAAAAGTGTCTGGGTCTGGAACTTTGCTCGACTTGTCATGCAGGTTTTCCATGACCCATATAATCTGTACTGGAGGACCTAGCATGACAGATTCCGTAAGATCACTATCATGGCTATCCTGCATGAGAAACTGCCTCTCAGCTTGCTCAAAAGTTGGCAGCATTTGGGAATCATGCAACACAGATTTTTGCGTGATTCAGATTTAGCATGACAAGTTCCAACCTTCCCGACCCAGACATTTTTGCAGTGCATAAAAGGAGGAAAAGGACGATGGAACTGAAAACCAGGACGGACAGCAGCGCCAGCATCAGCAACTGCGTTGTGCTATAATCGGACTCCGGGTCGCTGTCGAAGATCATCTCACCGACCCAGAAGGACAAAACGGTCGCTGTATTTTTTTTTCTTTAAACTTCTTCTCAGGACGATGATGCGGGGCGTCTTTGTTCTTTTTTTTAGCATCTGATGCAATAGAAATTTCGACCAAGTGCGAGTGCCATGATGTTACATGATGTAGGCAATAAACTACTTCATGCAAAAGCACTCCATGCTTGCATCAACGGCGGCGCGCTGTAATAGCGAGCTACTATCAAGCTCCATGCATCTTCCCACAAAAAATGTGAAAGCAGAAAAATCTAGGCTGTCATGGTCATGGACCATTGTCTTTTTCTACAATAACATCCACTAGAACAAAAACTATCGCTTTATCATAGTGAGTTTATCATCATTACCGACGGTGTGGGCGATTTTGTTCCAGATGACGGACACGTACTTGTTGACCAAGGCGTTGAGAAAGTATTGCGCCATGGTTAACCCCACCGCGAGCGCGATCCATCCCGTCCACCCGGAGAACAGCCCGCTGTCGTAGTCCTTCGGGCCGTCTTATGAAAGTGCACAACTCCCCCTCCCGCTCATTTGTCATGCAAAATTCCAAATACATCCTTTGCCTCTTAGCACTGTTTGCATGACAGACTCCGGAATCCAAAACAACACTACAATCCTCTAGGAATTTGTCATGCAGAAGCTGCATCTTTGCCAGCGCTTGTGTTGCTGTTCATGCAACACAAATGAGGGGGAGGGGGGCTTGTGCACTCTCATACGTCTAAAAACGGGCTCGATTCGCCCTTGTTGGTCGCGTAGCCGTAGCCGTTCCACAGATCCGCCGCACACCGCACGTCGTCGCAGACAAAGCTGGTCTGGCTATTCTTCGGTTCGTTGAAGGCCGAACTGTATAAGACTCCGGCCGCGATCGGCCCTTGGCGGACGTGGAGGTCGAGTAATATGGTATCCAGGCTCGATGTGTGCAGGGAAGCTGGTAATATGCTTCCCTCCGGTCCGTTCGCGTCAGGCTCGGGGAAAACAAGTTTCTGCTCAATGGCAAACGGGGCGAGATACGACACCAGATTCGGCTCGAGCTTCTCCTCGACTAGAAGGTTCTCCATGAATGTGTGGAAAATATCGCTAGCACTGCCAAAACCCGAGTGGAAGTAACTGTCAGACAACACGAAAGGCAGTTCTTTCCACAAGAACTTCGTCACACTCTGTGGCGGGCTTGCCGTTGGATCCACCACCACTTCCCCACTCACTATCGCTTTCAGTTTGTCCAACCCGACCACACTATCGTCTTTCGGGATGTGTGCCTGGAAATCAGAGCTGTCCGTCGATTTTCCGTTGGACCTGCTGGTCACCTTGAAATCCTCGGCGCTTTTTGTCGTGTTCATCGGCACGTACAGTTGCCACTCGGCAGCCGAAGCGGTTTGTTTGCTAGCATCGCTGGTCACTTTCTTGTTCACAAAGCACCCCTGCGGCCGGAAGTACCTCATATGGTACTTCTGATTCGCATTGTCGCTATCCTCGAACTCCTCGACAGAGTCGACCCGGTCCTTGGCCGACTGCTTGAACTTATGGATGTGGCAGGATCGAAATCGACAGAGTTGAAATGATTTCTCATGCATAAAATGCAGCCCACAAAGTGCCTGTCTTGCAGAGTAGGCGAGAGAGGCAGTAGATTGCAAGCCTTTTGAGGAGTAGAAACTGACACTGAGCTGCTAAATTAGCATGACAAAAAGCATCCTCCTTACCCAAACAGAATGACAAACTGGATCTCGGCTCTACCCAAATTTGTCATGCGCCAGTTGGAAACTGGGTTACAACTGGCATCCATTTTATGCATGGCAAATCATTTCAACTTTGTCGATTTCGATCCTGACAGTTCCATAGAACTTGCAGAAAACGTATTTCTTCTGGTTCGGGACGTATCCTGAGTAAAAACGTACCCACACCAGAGTTGTAATGCAAATCTACATGCTGAAAATGTTTCTCATGCGGAGCCTCATGAGAAGCATTTTCTAGTCGTGTTTTGCAATTTGTCATGCTCCAATCAGCATGGTATGCTAGATCTGTGATGCTGCTGAGCTAGCTCAAACAGCACTACAATACGAATCCAAATTTGGCATGCAAAACAGCCAAAACTTGTGGATTTGTCTAGCCGATTTCCCATCTTGACTATGGTGTGGGTACGTTTTTACTCAGGATAGCACGGAGGAATCGTTCACGATGTCGGTCGGATTGGCATTGTTGTTGTCCTGGTAGTCGATGATTAACCTGTGGTAGACACCGCGGACGTCCGCATCCGCTAATGGCTCTTTCGCTGCTTTGGCGTCAGATATCTCCTCGTCCGTCCACATCTTCATCTCGTACTTTTCCTCTTTTGTTTTCTCAGTATAGGTCGACAGCTTCCCGCCGATCGCGATTTTCGTCTGCCATTCATTCGGCGCCACCATGCGCAGATTTCTCTTGTACGGTGACTTAGCCGCGCGGTCGGCGAGTTTCCCGACCTTCTTCTTCAGCTCTTCGAGCGCCTTCACGTGGGGAAGCGCCCTTCTCGCGCCGATGGTCCCCGTCCCTGATTCGTACTTTTTCTCACTGTCGTATTTCGCGGTCTCGAACCCGGGGTTCTTCCGGTACTGGTCCCCCTTCAAAAATTCCCCGTTCCAGAATTTCTGGTTCGTTTCCAGGGCTTCCGCCTGGTAGTAGTCGTGCAAAAAATCCACCTCGGACTCCTTGTCCTGCTCAAACTTCCGCAACGACTTTTCGAAAAACTCCTTGCCCTCCTGCATGCCGTCGTTCACGGTCAAAACGACCCCGCGGTAGGTCCACAGCGACTGTCTGAGGTACAAATTCTCCGGCTTTGCGTTGCTGAAGCAGGATTCTTGGAGCAAATCGAGCGACGATCCGATGTACGGCATCAGGAAGAGCATCCCGATGGTGATAAAGATTTGCGAGATGTCTGTTTGGAACTTCTGGGTGAAGATCGACACCTCCTTTTCCTTCTTCATCAGCTTCTCCTGCAGCGTCCCGCCCAACACCGCGGCGGCGGACCCGAGCAGAATGACGATCAAGCCAAAGGGCAGCTTCACGCTGCTGCCCTCCTCGTCCTCGCCCTTGTCCAATTCTCCCTTCTGGGTAATGCCGAACATCGCGACGGCAACCGCGAGGCAGCAAATGATGATCCACTGCATCAGCGTGTGCTTCTTCCCGAGAATCAGCCACGCGAAGAGCATGCTCATCGGGATCTTGGACTGCCCAAACATGTTTCTCAACCCCGGTCCGACAAACAACGGCCCCATCACCAAAAACGCCTGACTGATGCCGAAGCAGGCGCCGGACGGGAAGAATTCCCAGATTTTCCGCGGGGACAAGGTGGTGGCGAGCCCGTTCTTCAAGTTTTCCCAGAAGTGGACTCGCCCGGTTTCCGCGTCTCTGCGGAACGGGTTATGCACTGCAAAAATGTCTGGGTCTGGAAGGTTAGAACTTGTCATGCTAAATCTGAATCATGCAAAAATCTGTGTTGCATGATTCCCAAATGCTGTCCAATTTTGATCAAGTTGAGAGGCAGGAGTTTGTCATGCAGGACAGGCATGATAGTGATCTCACTGAATCTGTCATGCTAGGTCCTCCATTACAGATCATATGGGTCATGGAAAACCTGCATGACAAGTCTAGCAAAGTTCCAGACATTTTTACATTTGATACGGGTTGTTGGAAACCAAAACGGAGATGAAAAAGTACGTGACCGACGCACAGAACCCCACTCCGAGTACGACGGACTGGGACAAAACTTTGGTATCCTTCATCACTTTTCTTAACCCAACGGAGGCGGCCACCAGCACCACGACGAACCCGGATAGGATGAGGATTGAAGTCCACGTAAGTGAGTCGCCGCTGGTGTCCTGCTGGGGAGCAGGTGCTGTGGTCGGAGCTTGATTCTCTTCATCTCTGTTCTCATCTTTCTTGTCCTCTGTCTCGTAGTTGTCAAGCTCATTCCCACCCAGTAGCGGCGCCCCCTCGTAGTTGTCCTCTCTGTCCCCCGCCCTACTGCTCGACGTTCTTCCCGTCATCCCGCGAGGCCTGGCGAGCTCTTCGCCGCTTCGCAGGTTAGTATTCGGTGCAGCTGGTGCTGACGCCATGTTGGTGGGCTGGAGTCGGTGGTTGTTACACGGTTTTTGGTCGTGTACGCGGTTCGGGTCGTTCTTCTTGTTGTATTACAAAGAGCTGCTGCTTTTTCGCGGCGTTAGCTCCCTGACTCTGTTTCAAACCACTGCAACAGTTGTACTGTCGTGTATAAACTGGAAATAATTTCAGGTTCGTGACGAAGATATCACACAGCCCGCTACAATAGTCGCCTTCGCGCTCAAAGTAGAGCAGAAAGAACTTATTGTATAATAATCCAAAAAGATGTAAAGTAGAAGGTAACTTCACGAGATTTTTACACCACTCGAGACGAGTCGAAAAATAGCAATTCGCTATTGCATTTTCGACATTTTTCGCAAAAGAGGCGGATAGAAGCGGGAAACCTCTATCCGTCGTAATTCAAAAGTAGTAGAATAAAGGTTTGCAGTTGTAGAGATTCTTAGTACGACTTCCGGTAACAAACTCGCTACTTCTTTTTTCTTGCATGCACGTCGTAGTTGTGGAGCCTTCGTAGCGTCCGATCTATTTTTTGGGAATACACAACAACGCCTTCGTCGTAACTCAATATTTCGAAGGGTCGCGCGATAGTACTTTCTAAAAGTTGAAGTTCTTTAAGCGGCCGCGTTTAGTTCGTGGAAACTGAAGCTTCGTCCGTAGAACAGTTTGTGATCAGGATATAATCAGTGCGTGTTGTACTTCTACAGGGGTATTAATCTGGATTGTGTATCAATACAGATATTAAACCAAGCTAAAAAAAGCAGGGAATAATTATACCGTACAATGATACAAGCGCCCGAAAAATCCAGAATAAACCTCCGTATGAACGAAGCCTGTTTGATCAGTTTAGAATCTTGACTTTATCAACCGCGAGGACGACGCCCGTGCAATTTTCTCCAAAAATTCGTTGTCCTTACATACTATTTATCAGTGTGCGAAGTTGTGTTGATATTATCGCAATTTTCTTCATGGGATCGGTTTCGCCACAGAAATAGCGTCAGATCTCGTCTTTTTATTTTCGAGACGCTTTCATTTGTTGCACACAGAGATCTTTCGCTCTCGTTGCGGTCGTGTACTAAATCGCAGTGACTGACTTTATCTTTTTGTCCTGATCGACGCAGCTGACAGCTCTAGTAATGTGTGTGAACGAAAAATTCTCGGTCAAAAGATCCGAATTGTCTCGCTGCCGCTGCACCAAATGCTTGACCTCTGTTCATTTTTCGTTCCGGTTCTATAGATATACCGAGCTGTTCCTGTTGTTCATCTAGGAACTCTACAGCAAACCGAATCGAAATTGCTTTGCAATTGCCACTGCGGGAGCATTACAGATCCTGCATTTCTTCACTTGATGCAGTTCGTTAATATTCATTGTCCGATCTCATTTCACATCCGTCAGCTATCTACGTATCTGCTGGCGACACGGTTACACTTACAATCTTTCTGGATGTTCCAATAAAAATCACCATTTCACCTTTTGCGATCTTCAATGTGAGCGTCACAACTTTTGAACTGAATTGCATTTGTTGCACTGCGCGAGCGATCAAGCGACATTGATGTCATTTGGTGGCACTGCCTCTTCATCACAGTAGATCCATCCTGGCACAACTTGTGACGAGACTATTCATTATAATTTCGAGCAATCTGCATTGGCTCCTGATTTCAGTTACTTATTCTTATTTTCCATTTGTTCTGTTTTGCGAAGTAGAACGATCATAGAAGCCGTTCTTTGTTCCACTAGTGTCGATTCCGTCCTTCTGATAAAAATGCGCTAGGGAAAATCCGTGCGTAATTTTTTTTTCCAAACTTTCGTTTGGCACCACGTATTCTGGCGCGCTCAACCGCGCATACAGCGCCTTCTCAAGCTTTCCCACTCGTTTCAACCTTGCACGCGTTCTGGTGAGGAGGTAGCGGAGCTTACCTTGCGACACAACCGGGGCGATGGCGTTCGCAGACGATAGGACTCTAGCCCGTCTAGCAGCAGTTGTCGTCCCGCTACCAGCAGCGTGGAACAGCAGTTGTGGGGCTTCGTGGTGATACGGAGATGTTGAACCACCTGCAAAGCCGAGGTCGTAGCTTCCTTCGACGTCCACTTGCTCCAAATCATTGAGGTTTTTCGTCATCAGAGTGCTGGCTAAGAGTGACACGTCCGGCAGTGGTAGTGCTAGTGGAGGTTCCTCTGCATGATGATTCTCTTTTTTGACGTAGTTCTGATCGCTCCCCTGCTGCAGCCCCAGCCCCGTTGTGGTCGTACTAGTATAACTATCCGTTGGCGATTTTCTGATTTCCCTCTGTAGTCCTCCTTCCGGTTCCGCATCTTCGAAACTAGCATCATATAGAGGTGTTTGCTCCAAAAGCGGCACCAGTCTCGCGTGGTACTCGCAAACGTCGTGATTTTGGCTTAGGTATTTCCTATCGTCATACAGCAAATCACCGACCGACTCGAAGATGCCTATCGATGGGGAAACCACGTCGCGCCGCACATCCAGAATGCACGCTGCCACGACCAGCAAATTGCGCAAATCGAGGAGGACGAGCGGCACCTCCGCGCTGATTTGTAAAGCGCGAGGAGTTCTTGTTGTCGTGGCTGGTTGCTTGTTCTTGCCGATGTCAAGCGGCGAAGATGTTGCCCTTGGAGAGGTCGAGCTTGAACTGCGATTTTTGCAGGTACTAGAACTTGTTGTACTATCCGCATGATAACGACCGCCATTGCTGGTTGTAGCTCTCCTCGTAGCTGGTTCAAAAGGAGTGGAACCGGGAGGACTAGCAGTACTCGTACACGTACTGATCGCACAGTTATAATTGTCACTGCCGACGATCTTTTCGAGCGCTTTCTCCACATCGTAAAAATCTTCTTCAAACGCGTCCAACATGCGGAAGCACTCCAAATTGAGCAGATTGCAGCATATGCAATAGAAAAAGCATCGTACTAGTATGAATTGCATCACAACTTTTCCCAAGAACAAAAACTCAATTTGTCATGGTAGTTCAGGTAGCAACTTAGATTTGTCATGCATAACTGCAAGTAGAAGTAGTACTAGAACTACAATACTTTTGCAATGCATACAGCAGGTCCGCAACCAATTCTTCCGGTCGGTGTCGTACGCAAAGGGCTTGAATTCTTTCTGCAACCACGCGTGAAAAAAGAGCCCGAGGTCCCCGATGAGTTTCCGCAGCCAGAGTGGAAGCTGCTGGTGTTTTTCCTCGCACTGGTCCTCATTTTGATGACTCTGACACGGATTCTCTTCCCTATCACTTGCGCTGCTACTGCTGGTTCCAGAAGATGCGGATTTCGATTTGTCCTCACGCGGCTTGACACCACGACCCGCAGTATCAATAACATCCTCTTCGTCCAGGAAAAAGTCAGACTCTATCTCTTCCTCGTCACTGTTCGACGATTCTGAAGAAGTCTCTGTGTAATTGTCTTGCGCCTTGTACGCTGCCCCAACCTCATCTTCTTCATCTTCCACAGGAGCTGGGTTGCCATGAAGATCATCTTCCGCGATTTTATCTCCGGAAGTAGATCCACCTCCGCGCTCGGACTCTTGTGAGCTGCCGCGCCCGCGTATCACTTCGCAAAAGAAGAATCTTCCCTCATCGTGCGTATTGGTATTTGTATTTCTCAAGGTCAAGATGCAGAAACGAAATGGAAATACAAATCCCTACTATAACAACCATGCCTATGAGCGAAGGTAGTTCGCTCCTATCATACGCCTGGGCTGCGGAAAGATATCCACCCGGACGTGGGACGTTTTTCCCAGCACCGAGTTTCTCCCCAGCCGCGTTTGCTGCTGCTCCTGCAGCGTGAGCGCGCGGCGGCGGCGGGTGCGGAGCAACAGCTTCCTTCTTCTCCGTGTCGGCTCGTTTTCCACACGATTCTGCCTTCCTCGCTTCCAGCGCCACTTATCCTCCGGCCGAAAAGCCCGGCCCAGGTACCGCGCCAACCCGCGCAGCGTCTCGTTGTAGGGCTGCGTGGAGAGAAAGCCGGGAAACAGGTCGCGGTCCATCGTGAGGAGACTGAGAAGAACCTCGCGTAACTTGTCGACTTGCGCGGTTTATCATGTGCAAAATTATCATACTCGTAGCAATCGCAGTGATGCATTACAAATCTCCATCCCAAGGCAAAACAGCATGATAAATTCCATTTCTCATGCTGGCGAAATTTGTAATGCGATTTCTAGCTACTAGTACGAGGATGCTTTTGCAATGCATACGGTCGTCCCAAGCCACGCATGTCCTGCGGGTTGGACCGCGATGGGACAAAAGTCTGGTGTTGGTGCGAGTCCCACAATTGTTCCTGGCGACGGTACATTGACTGTTCCTAAAAAGGGAACAAGGTCATTATCCGCCAAAGCTGCTCCTGCGTGATTATCATTATTTTGTGTCCCCTTGATGAGTTCATCTGCTTTGTGACGCGACTTATCCCCGTGGTCCGGAGCGGGAGTTGAGCCGACTCGTAGTCCCGCGGCTGATTCTGATGGAAAAATAAGAGCATCAACACCATGCCTCTCCGTATTTTTATACTCCTCCTCTCGCACCAGAAGCTCGTCTCCCCGGCCGCTCACCACTGCAGCCACCTTTGCCAAATACTGGTCGAAAAAGGGCGCAAACCCGACGAGTAAGTTCGGCAGATACCTTGCCGCCCTCCCCCCAACGTTGGTAACGCTCTCGAAAAAGTCCCGGCAGCTGACGAACACGCGATCTTCCTGAAGAAAGTCGAGCGCCACGCTCGCGATCGCCGGTGAGCCCCGGTGGATCCTGCACGTTGCGCTTTTTCCCAGGCTTGCAGGGGACATGGTGAGCTGGTGAAAAGACTGGTTGTAAAGCTGGGTGTAACCAGTTCTACTTCCAGGTATGAACAACGAACTTGCCGACGCCACCGCTCCAGAGGATGAGGTCGAAGGGCCGACTCCTGAAGACTTTTTTCCGCCAAGCAACACTTGCTCTTGCTGTGCCCAAACCAAGTCGCCCGTCTCCTCATTCAACATGAGAAATTGACCATGCTGTGCGGGAGATAATGTCGACGCTCCTCTTGCACAACTACCATCATCTGCCCCCGTAGTTGTTGCTCCGGAATGATCGTACGTCGGTGATGAGCTGCTGTCGACTGCAGCTTCTCTGTTTTCCGACTCCGACTCCGAGCGGAGAAAATTATGAAACCCAAAAAACACGGCGACCAGCAACACTTCGCCCGTGATCGCGTGCGTGTGCACGACCAGATCTCCCCGCTGCAGGTAGTACCCATCCTTCACGTTCACTCCCAGTTGCACCTGCGGAAAGTCGCGCTTTCTCAGTAGTAACGGCTGATGCCCGAAGGAACACTGAAACAGCGCGGTGGCGAGACGCTCGCCGGTGATTTTTTTCCGTTTCTTGTTCCTCCTTTTTTCATCTGGTCGGTTAGCTGCTGAGGAAGATGAATGAGCCGTTGTCCCTGAGCCAACACTGGTCGTGTAATTTTTATATCTCTCTCGCCTAGTACCATGGAGCACGTTTTCCGCTCGAGAGGCTGCGAGGAAAGGATTTTTCGACGACGCTGAGCTCGAACCAGGACCACCGCGCGATGTAGTACTACTTGTGGGAAAGGGTAGCGACGCCTGTGACGTCCTCGTGTGCCCGGCTTTATCACTGGTCGTCACGAGGACCTGATGTTCGGGCGAAGATGGACTCGTGCTGCTTGAAGATCCTCGGAGTCCTCGTTGGCCGACCTCACGATTTGTCGTACCAACGCTAGTATCGCCGTCTATTTCTAAGCGGCGTCCCTCGTCGACAAAATCAACATCTTCAGCTGCACAGAAGTCTTCATCCCCTTCCAAACCGTCCAAGGGGATGTCGGCATACAGAGGTGCAGCGCTTTCTGCCTCGGCATTCTTCACAGCGGGGGCATAATTCTCAGAGCCGGTTGCGCCAATTTCGTGACAATTGTGTGCCGCGACATCAGCTTGATTCGGCAAGAACCCGGTGACAAACTTCTTCCGCCGCGAGGGCGCTGCAGTGGAAGATGAGACGGAAGTGTGTCCTCTTCGTGTATCCTCTGGATCGGCGGTCTGTTGCTCTTGCGCCATATTGGCCGTCATCAGAGAGTGCTACACAAGATCTGATCGGCTCGAGGCTTTAGGAAATGAAAGTCTGCGGTAAAACGAAAAACATTTTGGACACGAATAAGCTGCTGCATACAACAATTCTCAGTAACGAAACAGAGCTCTTCTGTTTGTGGCTTTCGAGCGTCGAGAAAAGAACAAAAGCAAAACCAAAAGTAAATCTAAGCGTTAAAACGTACTTAAACCGCAACAACGAAAAACCAAATATAAAATGTCGCTTACTGACGTACGACCGGCGAGAGCGACACAAATCGAAACAAGGCTACGGGAAGAGGAACTCGAAACGAGCATGCCTCAAGATCTGCGTGCATCTACTTGATCGCGACAGTGACCGAAAAACGCAAGGCGACGTTGTTATGAAGACTGGACCTGGAAACGTTGTTATGACTGGAGAATACGACGGCGCGTTGCTTCTGCAAAAATTTTCCAAGACCATCGAGGGCCAACAATGATCTGCAACTTTGAGCATCTTCTTGATTCCTGCTGATTTTTACTGAAGGAACAGCACATCTTCCGCGCAACGCGAAACCGGTCTTACGGACAAAACTGCAGGCCACTTGATGCTGACAAGCCGCAATTACTTACTTATATCATCGGTTTTTTACTTTTTTGTCGCTGTCGCCGCTATGAATTTTCTTCATGGAGTTTGTTCTTTGAAGGTCTTAGCGTGGCTCGTGCGCACGACGTGGTCGTGGTCACGTGGCATCACAGGGAGACCACAAACTACAAGGTTTCTGCTTCAAGTTGTCTTTGAACCAAAAAAAGCTTCATACTTGTAAAAACTCAACTTTGTTCAAGATGATTGATGACCACTCGCCTGTACACAGGAGGTTGTAACAATTACAGAAGTAGAACCGTGCAGCCCACCTAGAAGAAGTTTTAATAATTTTAGTCTGAGTCTGAGTCGGAGGACGAGGAGCTACTTTCGCTGCTGCTGTCTTTCTTTTTTTTGTTCTTCTTTTTTTTCTTTTTGTCGTCCTTCTTTTTTGCCGCCTTTTTTTCTTTTTTCTTCTTTTTTTTGGACTTCTCCTTTCGCCTCTTTTTCTTCTTTTTGCCGCTGTCGCTGTTCTTCGAATCGCTGTCGCCGCCTCGCTTCCTCTTCCCCAGCCCGGGGACTATCGTGCCGAGGAGGGCGGTCGGCTTCCGTATTGGCTCCTGCCCGAAGATCTTGTCCTGGTTATTTTGCTCCTCGTCACTATCGGGGTCATCGGACATGTTTTCCTCCATGGCTGCAAGTTGCTTCTGCAGGGCCATCTGCTTGATGCTGGGGTCCTCGATCTTTATCGTGTTTCGGCACTGAAACGGCAGATGCCCGACCATCCCGCAAACCGTGCAGGCGCCGGGCGTTCGCGTGGCGGACAGGCCGGCCAGCTTGACCACTTCTTCCATCCCTGTCGCCTTCTCGGTGGGCGCGGCACGCGCATTCATGCCGGAATCTGAAGATGAGATGTCTTACAAATAAACGTAGGAAATGGCAATGCTTCGCGTTGTGCACAGTGGACATAACAATAACTACTCATCTGTCGATACATCAATCTGATAGCCATGTCGAACCTGCTGAAGACGAGATGAAGCAATGACTTCCGCCCTCGTCACGGTCATGAGCTTCTAAGTCGCAGATTTCTTAATTCTCGTTCTCATGATCGAAGTAGAAAAAACAGTATTACACCCAATACCTGGCGCAGCGCCCTTCCCCCCGGCCGCGCCTCCTGGTGCGCCTTTTTTCCCCGCCAGACTCCCGCCGCTGAGGCCGCCCTTGCCCCGTCCGTAATCTAAATTCAACGAGTAGCCGCGTGGCTGGGCGGCCGCGATTTCCTTGGCCTTCGCGTCATGGTCCGGGTTCGCGTAGGGATCGTACCCGATTTTTTCCCACATCGCATTCGTTTTCAGCGAGTCGGACACCCCCATTCGCTTCTGATGCGGCTTCAACATGTGCCCCCCCGCCACGCGGGGGGCCTGCTTCAGGTTTACATACTCCATGTGTGTACTGGTGCTGGAGGGTCGTACTTACCAGTGATTGGATTTGCTATCAGACGAGGTGCTATTCGGTTCAACTACTTACTACACACTGACACACAGTGCGATTTCAAACTAACTTCAAACTTACGCAGACCTATTTTTTTTTCGAAAAAAAACGCTAAACATTAAGCAAAATAAATTCATGGTCATTTAATCGAGACTTACAAATATGGGGTCCTGATGAAAGGTTGCTTGAGGATGGGTTCATGGGAAAAAACAAAGCAACAAAACATTACTGAACGGCGTTTTTGTGGTCCATTTTGTGAAATACAAGCTGTCGAAGGAACCATACGGGTCTTTGACTTTTCAAATTGGATCTCGATCGCTGTCATCTCGTCTTCGTTCATGTCGGCCCCTTTGGTAGTGCTGGCGATCAGGATATATTTTTTCTATTTTTCTCCAAACGACCCAAATTTTCATATTCTCCATCTCTAGAGGGAACATCAACATTTCAGTGTAATGGTACACAGCACTCTGTCGGTGCTAATTTCGTCGACAACAATGTCCTTCAACACGCTCGAACTCATCTACTGCATGCTTTATCATGATTCCGCTACAAAGTCATTTGATTCCTGCTAAAACGAAAATCTCACACATTTGCGTATCCATACAGTGTCATTCTTACTCTTCTTGCAGCCACAGTACTGAACATCGTTTTCCCTATACATTTTTTCACCACACTCACGATAAAAAATTGGCTTTACGAAGCCCTTTCCATCGGCTTCGGATCAACTCTGTTAATTCAAAAAAAAAGCATACTCGAAAGCAAATGCGCTAAAAAAATCTTGATCATTGTCGCTGCAAACATATACACGACTTTCACTTTCTGCTACTTAGACTCTCGATGACAACTCATACGAATTCTACGTTCTCAAAAAACCCGCAAACGAATTTATTCCCTGATCAGCACCACAGCACAAACTAAACTACACTTCGTCTTGCAAGAAATCACATTCGGCTGTCGTAAAAATTTCTATACTTGCACATATCAATTCCAGCTGCAGAGTTTCTTTCTTTCCGTGCCCGGGCAAGGCATCAAAAGTTCAAGGCCCTAAGATAAAATCCTTCGTGTTGACAACAATCTTAATCGCGATAATCTACAACATTCCAAATTCCGAATTCCAATCGCTACAATATCTGCCCGTGTTTCGTTACTTTCCGGTGGTAACATAGATCAGACGATTTTTACGATCATATCGCTTTCCACAATCTAATACTAATTAATCAAAGCAAATCTTCTCAAATATTGGTAAAAATCTGACGCACTCTTCTATACTATGTACTTTGTTCTATACTTCTACGAGCCCCCTCCATCCTGAGAGTAGAACGCCGAACTGGGAAAGTTTTAGAACTATTGACCGATGGATCATCATGTCAACATAGTACATTTCTTCGCGTACACAAACTCGGCCCCAACAAGAAGAAATCCAGGTTTTTTCTTTCACGAGCTGTCGCTGATCTGCCGATTGAATTTGCGCAGTAGGTTGTGGCTGCGCAACCCCCTTCGCAGCTTGAAACTGTCGTCCGTATCGGGGGTTTGCAGTTCGGGCGTGGACTTCCAATCGGAGCTGATTGCGCTGGAGGAGAGGTTCTTCTTGTTCATCCCGGTAATCTTGTTGGCAGCTCCACCTGCTCGCGATGAAAACAACCCACCACGACCGCCCTGAAAATTGTTCAGACTTTTTGTAGGTGATGAACTATCGCCCCTCTTGCTGTTATAATCTGCACCGGCCGCCCTCCTCGTGGTCGCCGCATTCGCAGAAGACGTGCGCCACAGCGCCGCCCGCGCCCGGTTGTCCGCCTCCTCATCTTCTTCGGAAGTAGAGTCGAGGTGCGCGTGCCGCGAAGCGACTTGAGGCTTAATATTCGCAGCTGCGAGGTGGATTTTGGACGGCGGCTGCCACGGTTTCCGCTTCAGCGCCGGGCTGGGGGAGGATGAGTCATCGTCTGACTTTCCGTCGCTTGAGTCGTCGCCGTACCTCGACCGGCTTGCACTCCGGGCCTGGGACGTCGTGGACAACCGGGGCCGGGCGGACAGACCATTGTCGGTGTTGTTTCGCTGCTTGTTCTGCTGCCACGAGATGTTCCACAGCGGGCCCTTCTTCACGATCTGGCTCGTGCGCTTCCGCACCTTGGTATCCAAGAAAAAAAGGCTGTTAGTGTAAATTTGTGATGCGCAACATGCAAATTAATTGCGCCTGTCATGCTGGGCATGCATTCTAGGGTCCATTCAGCGGCGTTTTCCCGTACTATCTGCGCAATTTTTTGCTGTCATGCGAAACAAAGATATTTGTCATGCTACTCGTCCAAGAAAGTTTCACCTACAATCTTTTTTCCCTGGATACTTGGTCAGCTTGGCCGGGGGATCATCATCAGCAGTATCACGACCGGGCTCCTGTGCGTCTACATTGTCTTGGGCCTTGAGAAGTTCTTGTTGATCTTCGCCGCATGATTTGTGCCCGTTTTTAATATCGCTGTTATTTTCCAACGTCGCAACCCCAACCGCGATGGCTGGGAGGTGCAAGGGCTCTGCTTCGTGCTCTTCTCGCAGCGGACGTGGCCCGGCGGTGGCAGGGCACGCATAGTTGTCCATCTGCTCAGAACTCCGGAAGCCGGACTCCAAAATCGGCTGCGCCGGCGGGGGAAAGTCAAAGACGATAGATTCTTATCACACAGAAAAAAGCTGGCAGGGCATATTTGTAATGCAAAATACACAGAAAAATCTGCCATGGGCGGCCTCATAGCATGCTATTTGGGATATGCAATACAGGTTTTTTTGTCTATTTGTATTTTGCATTACAAATATGACCTGCCAGTTTTTTTCTGTGTGGTAACTCTTGTTCCATACTGATGCGGCTCAACTCGCCTTCTTCCTCTTCAAAAAACCTGGTGAAGAATGAGTTTGTTGAAGATGGTGCCAAGTGCAAGTGGTGCTTGTTCTGCCTTCATTTTCCAGACCTGCTGTGCCAAGTATGAAAACAAGCCGACTTTCAGTTTCCATGGAAGATAGACCAGCCATGCAAATCTTGCGTCCTCACGACAGCTTCGACATTTATCACATCAGCATCAGGATCACGATCAGCTCTTCCTCTTCATCTGTTCAGTTCTACACAATAAAGCTACACACTACCTCTTGTCCTGCTGCTCCTCTTGACCCAGCAGCGCGGCACCTCGACCGACCGCTTCACTTTCAGTGATGTTGCGGCCCTCTCCCTCCTCGATCTCAAAGAAGCTCGAATTGTTCATTTGCGATCGCTGGACCTTCTCCTGTAGCCGCTTTGCCTTCTCCAGAACGTCGTCGAGCTGGCTCAGTTCTTCTTCTATCAAACGCAAAAATGTCTGGGTCTGGAAGGTTGCAACTTGTAATGCTAGCTCTCCATACCTAGGAAATCTGTATTGCATAGCCAACAAAAGTCGCAGCCTCTGTTGTACACGCAAAAACGCAGTGTCTTATGCGGATTTCCCATGAGAAAGCGTTCTGAACAGTCGCCATGCTGTGTTGCATTCGGAACTGTTTCCATCATCCACATTTTAGCATCACAAGTTTCCAGACCCAGACACTTTTGCATTTCATATCTTCCCCGGACGTACGAAACCGCCGCACTTCGTTGGCCGGGTAGTTATTACTATTTGGCCCTTGTTCATTGCCGGGTGAACAACCTTGGGGTGCATTATTGTTCGCATTTTGCTGTACCAGCAGCCGTGGTTGTTGTTGTGTACTACCTGCTGTGTCAACATTATCCTCATTATACTGCAATAAATTTTCGCTATGGTTCCGCTGCAGTTTTGCCAAGGTCGCGCTCGTTAGCTTTGGTTGCTGGTGTTGGGATGATGTTCTTTCCGTCGCAGGAGCTTCAGGCCCGCCAATGGACGGCTTCTTTGCACCAGATGCGGCTTGTTCTTCCGGAAAATTCCCCGCAGGAACTGCACCGATTTTGGGGGGCGCCAAACTGGTGACAAAGTTTGGAACTTGTTGAACACCTTGTGATGCTGATTTTCCAGGAACTGCACGAGCAGTGGTCGCAGGCTGTGCAGTAGAGCCAGGCGTGAACTTCAGTTGCGGGCTAACTCCGAGGCGTGGAACGGAACTTGTGCCCCCTCCCTGTGCGGGAAAAAAAGCAGCTTGATTGTTATTTTTCCCCCCGGCAGCAGCTGCCAACGGCGACTGCAGGGTTTTTACCACGACCGGCTGGACGAGCGGCGGTGGCAGAGGGGAAGTGGTCAACGACGTGTGTTGGAAATTATAAATGCCGCCCTGCCCCGGCGGCGTGGGCAAAACGGTCGACGGCGGCATGGTCGCGGGAGAAATGATTTGCGGCTGCTGCTGCTGTGCAGCGTAGTTGTTTATCTTGGCCGCGTGGTTGTATTTGGCCCCCGCCGGCTGAAGTTGGTGTTGAGTTTGTCCATTATTTCCGGGAGCTCCTGCACCGACGACAAAAACTTGCGGCTTCAGCTTGCTGTACTGATTGGCACAAGTGCCTGGATGTTGATGCGGGTTGTACTGATTGTACTTGTTCCACATATCATCTTCTCGTTGCTCTTGCTGCCCACAACTAGTTGAAATTAATCCCTCGACATAATCCCCCGGTGTTTCCTCCTTCAAATACCGCAATGCCGACACCGTTTTGCCCTCGATTTGCGACAGAGAAACTATCCGCTGCCGGATCTGCTCCACGTTGCGCAGGCTGCGCGCCAGCGACGCCCGCAGCGTGCTTTTGTCGTTCTGGAGCCGCGACCGGTCGCCGGTCATCTGCATCAGACGCGACTCGATTTCCGCAAGCCGGCGCCGCATTTCCAGATCCTCGCACGCCACGCGACGCTCCAACGCCCGCTTTTCCCCCACCAGCCGGCGCTTCTCGACCGCCGACCGCTCGCGCTCCGCCGAGATGCGGGTCTCCAATTCCAGGCGGAGTTGCCGCTTTTCCTCCACCTCGGCTGACAATTGCTGCTGCAGCTGGCACACGTATTGTTGCTGCTGAAACTCGTCGGTCGTCAACGCGTTCAGCATCTGCCGGTCGTCGTCGCAGCTCTGCTGGTATGCGTTGCAAAAGTACTATGACCGCATTAGTACAAACTGCATGACAAATTTTTCCAAGAAAGATGAAAATGCAATTTGTCATGCTGGACCTGGAGGATAAAGTTGAAAGTATAACTTTGTCATGCACGACAGCAACTTACACAGGGACGATAAATACTTTTGCACGACAGCATACTTGACGACATATGTCCAATTTTTGCTTCCACTGCAGGATTTGCCGGCCGTTCGCCGCCTCTTCTGGGCCGAGGTCTTCGCCGTTCTGCAGTCGCGTCAGAAGCGCCACCTCGCTAGAATCGTCTTCGGAGCTCTCCTATCAGATGCAAAAATGTCTGGGTCTGGAAACTTGTAATGCTGTGTTGGGAATAGTGAATGCACTGTAATGCACAGCCAAGCATGAGAAATATCTGCGCTTCTTTGTGTTGCGTTTTTCGCATGAGAAACTGCGTTTTTGCATGACAGGCAAAAGGGTATCTTCTTGGACACGCATCACAAACTTTTTTGTCATGCCAGATAAGCATGACAAATCTCGCAATCTTCCAGACCCAGACATTTTTGCATTTGGTATCTCCAGGGCGTTCTTCAGAATCGTGGCCGGTACGTCCAGGTCGTTGCTAGCCTCCTCGGAGTATGAACTGCAAAAATGTCTGGGTCTGGAAACTTGTGATGCTGAGTGGCGCAGCATGAGGGGGCCACAAGTGCTGGCTCAGCATGACAAATTTCTGAGCTTGTAGGTGTTCAGGTACGTGTTGCCTATTCTGCATGACAAACTGCGTCTCCGCATGACAGAAAAACGCGGCTCTTGGGCAACGTGCATGACAGATTTAAGAGTCATGCCAGACAAGCATGACAAACATGAATTCTCCCAGACCCAGACATTTTTACAGTTGATACGGAGGGGGAGCCAAGGGGCCCGTCGCTCTGAGGTCCCGCCGGTCGTGTTTTATTATGCTCATACTGCTGCGGATGTTGACGGCGATTGTACAACTTCCTGGCTGGTGACAACTGCTGTTTCTCTACTTCTTGCGCGAGAAGAAATTCTTCTTCGTCCAGCGCCAAATCTCCCTCGTCCTCCTCCATGCTAGAATAGTCGTACGCAGCTTCTGCCCGTTCATCCTGTTGCGAAATAAATGCACTTCCACCTCCTCCCTGAGCGGGAAGATGATACCCAGCGCCGACAGGGAGGTCGTTCCTGCCATCGTGCTTTATTTGTTGTTCTCTTATCGGGTAGACTACTTCCTCCTCATTTTGTTGCCGCTGCAGCCCCCGATCTGGTGGTCCTCGCACGCTCGTAGCTACAGCTCCTGCGCCCTGCTGGTGCCGAGGTTGCTGCAGAAATCCAGCGTTCTTCCCTTCTTGCGGTGGGTGGATGAAAGGGGGTGCTGCTACGGGAACTGTTCTACTGGCTTGATTTTGGGCACCAGCTGTGGTGATTCCACTTGATGTAGTTGCACCAGCCATGTGGCAGCTGCTGCTCGCAGGAATCGGAATCGGCGTGAAGGAAGGGCGCTGGTGTTGGTGCGCGTTCAGGCAATACGGGGCGAACGGGGTCACAACCGTGGATGGGCCGACAGACGTCGACGCAGAAGTTGAGATCACTGTGGTGAGGGGGGTGGGTCGTTGTGTAGGAAATTTCTTTATGCATCGACGAAGCTCCACATTGCGTCGGATCACAGTCCTCCTCGTGCGCAGCACGAAATACAAAACACTATACACCTCGTGAAGAGCGTGAGCGTCGATCAGATCTTTCAGAAAGCTCTGTGCTGTCTGGTATCACAAGTGATGAAAAGTATGAAATCATACGGCCTCCCAAGGGTGAGCGCGGCGACCGCAAAAAAGCTTTATCCGTGTTCCAGAAGACCGGCTTTCGTATCCCGAGCGGAAACGTCCCCACACCAGAGTCAAGATGGGACTCTCGCAACACAAATCCAGAAGCTTTGTCAGTCCCGCATGACAAGTTGCAGTACGTAGTGTAGTGCAGGTTGGAAAGCACAGCCGCATTAGATTACAAATCCATGTGCTTATCCTGTTTACAGCATTACAAATCCCAAAACACGATAGCAAATGCCAATCATGGGCATGCGCATCACAAATGTTCCTGTCATTGCAAATCCGCAAGACAACTCAGGGGCGGGGACGTTTTTATTCAGGATATTTCGGACCCCATCGCCGTCGGACTCGATGGTGCTGCGGAAACCTTCATAGATTGATAAGAAGTTCGCATCTACTACTGCAATGGTGACAGACAAGCAGAGCGCCTCTGACTACTTACTACATCAGCACTCTCTACAAGTACAATCAGCATACCATATAACAGCTTGGTTGGCAGAAAACAGAAAAAAATCGCACCTGGTGCCATCGGGCTGGCGAAGGGTGGCTGCGCCTCCAACGGCGATGCGGCCGCCGCGTCGCCCGCGCGCTCTCGTGGCTGCGAAACGTCGCGGCGGTTCAGTTCGTATTTGAGACGCATAATCTCCGACCCATTCAGCTCCAAGGCCCGCTCCACACAGTCCCGAGTGACCACAGGCTTGTTCCCGCCGCTCTCCAAGTCCGGGGAGGAGCTGGAGTCGACCTGCGGGACGAGGGGGGGAGTGTTAGATTGAGTTCTTAAGGCTCTGCTTGACTACCACGACTGAAGATGGTGAAGACTCTCAAGAAGGACCACAAATAACGCGATAGTGTTAAGTATAAAAAGACAGTGAGTGGCGCCATCAATGTACCTATCTGCATACTCGTACCTGCTCTGTGCCACGATTCATTCCGATTCCATTTGCCGGTTTCTTCAACGGCCCTTCGTCTTTGTGATTCAGAAAAGCGGTCACTAGCTCCTGCCGCTCCTCTTCCAGGTGCTGCAGCCGCGACTGCAAACTCTCCCGCGACTTGTCCTCGAACCACGGGCGTGCGGGTTCCGGCGCAGCCTTTGCACCGTACTTCTGCGCGAAAGCCTAATTTGTAAATTATTCCTTAGATGTTTTCTAAATGTCGTTGTTTGAGCAGCAAAGCAGGCAGAAATGAAAGAACAAAAACACATGATATGATGTTTTTAGATGAGTCTACTTGTGCACATCAAATAGGACAGGAGTTTGAGTTGCAACTGCAAGACCGTCACAATCGGTAACATAGTACCAGTGGATTCCTGAGCACCATTTCTTCCTGTATCTGGCGGTATCGGGTTGTTACCGTGTCCCCGGACTGCTGCGATCCGATCTGGCTTCCGATGCTGGGCGTGTCCATAATTTTCCCGTTCACCACCATTTTTTTGTTCGAGCTCGCCGCCCGGCTGCAGCTCTCCGACCGGCTGCTAGCGCTGTTGGAACAAGAACTGGAGGAGGAGCTGGATGACGTGTTGTTTCCTTGATGTTCACCCGTGTTATTTTTTCCAATGGTGTTAAAACCAGCAGTCGGGTACGTTTTGCTGTTATTGAAAACAGTTCCGACAAACGATGGTAGCACGGGATTGGAAGCCCCCCGCGAATTTGGAAGATTCGCATTCGGATTCGCTGTTCCGCCAAACAGCGACGGCATCTGAAGCACTCCGGGCATTTGCAGCGTCCGCGGCAGGGTACTTGTACCGGGATTTAGAATTTTCTGGTGCGACGTCGTCGTGCCCGAGGTCCGCGGGGCGGGAAGACTGCTCGAAGCGTGGTTCTGCTGCCGATCACCGTCCTCTTCTCCAGCGGAAGTTGCGTCTTTGCCCGCTGGTGGTGTGTCCTCGCCGTGGTTGTTCAGTACCGGTTGTTCTTCTTCCTGAATCGGGACAGGGACTGGTGGCTCCGGATACTTTCGGTTGCTCCGCCCGGACGAAAACCTCCCTGTATTCAGCAAGCCGCGGTGTGCTGGTCCCGCGCCCGGACTGCGGCCCCGGGTCGTTGAGAACATTGGTGGTGGCACTGGTACGGAGAAAACCGGAGCCAGCCTGTTTTGATGTCCTCGCTGCACCATCTGAGTCATCGAATTATTTGCCGCTTGGTGTTCAACATCCTGAAAGTGGTCTGATGGTCCGCTTGAAGTAGATGTGAACGCAGCAAAGGGGGTTGCAACGCCGAGGAGCGGCGGCTGTAGACTCCGAGGCTTTTTGCTCTTGATGAATCCAGATCCACAGGCGGTTTGTGGACCTACACTAGCGTCGTAGTTGTCCCGCGGAGGAGTTGCTGTGCCGGCGCCGGGAGCTCCTGCGACAGCATCATTTCCCTTTTCGGCTCCGATGGCTGCTCCGGCGCGAAGATTTCTTGCTGCGCCGGTACTACTCCTGGAAAAATTCTGCTGCTGCTGCTCCACCACTGGCGGGGAGAGCGTTTGCACACTCTGGTTCACGCTGGCCTCCTGTGCTGGCGGTTCCCGCGGCGTCAACACCGCGGACCCCTGGATGGGCTGCTGCACCGGCTCCGACCCGCTGCTTTCCGGGTGCGGCTCACTGCACCACGACGAGGATCGTTTTCGAAGCTGGAAACTGCCCTGGTTTTGGCTCTGTTCGGCTCGTTCTTGCGACGACGCTGGAGCACCAGCGCGTGGAGGAGGTTGTTGCTCTGCAGGCATGTTATTTCGGGTGCCAAATTTGTGCATCATATTACAGCCAAAATTCATGTTCAACAAACCACCAGACGTTGTTCCTGCAGCCAAGCCCAGTTGTGCATGCTGGTGCCCTTGCTGCTGCAACAGAAAGGAGGGAAACACAGGCGGTGGCAGCGCACTCGTGCTCTTCGAATTGCCCTGGGACTGAGACCGCGGCGCCGCCGAAGTTCTTCGCGGGAAGGGTTGATCGTGTGGTCGCGTTCCTGCATGAAAACCGCTGGTCGTGTCGTCTCCTTGTGCTACAACAGGGGCAGTAGATGTGGCACAACCACCTGGAGCGGCTGCTGCCGCAACGAAGTTCGGTAGATTGAAAGTTCGCGGCGAGAGCAAAAAATTCGGAAAATTCATAGTCCGATTGTTGTTCGCGGGCCGGCTGTTTAACAAAGGACCAGCATGCCTAGCAACAAATCTACCGTCGGTAGTAGTGCCGTTGTTGATCTCAGCTTGGTGCTTTGATGCCGGCGCAGGAGCTCCATTGATTTGATGCTCTTCTTGTAAGCGGTTGTGGTTCTCCTCCCCCGGCCGACCTTGCTGAGCAGTCGAGTGCTGACTCACACCCCCGCCACCTGCTCCCAAGTTGTTTGTTCCGGCTTTATGCCGCTGCTCAAAGGACAAGCTGCTTGTCGCGATCTGACCTCCCCCCAGCTGTTCTTCGTCCTGCACTGCCACAGGCGCCGTTGCCGCACTCGTACTCGGCTCCACCTTGCGGCCGCTCGTGAGTGGCGAGTCCTTCTCTCTACCAAAGAAGTTCGTCAGCGTGCGAATGCTGGGACTGGGCTTTCGCCCCTTCACCTCCGGCGTGGTCGCCCGGCCTCCGACGGTGCGCGGCGGAACCACCGGCGTCTTCACTATGGAGTTCTCAAATGTTACATTTTCAACTGTCACATAAGTTTGCCATGCAAGACTACCTTAGGCCGCGAGATGATCAAGCTGCTTCGCATGACAAATCTCCGAGAGGCTAAACAGCATCGAAATCTGTGCCAAAGCTGTGATGCGAAAGCAGAAACCTTGCCCCTTTGACTGTTACCATTCTAGCGTCACAAATTCATGTAAGACTTGAGAATGTAACAGCTGAGAACGCCATACTCACGTCGCTGGTATTGGGAATCGTGGCTCCCGGTTTCGAGTGCGGCTGGATAATTGCTGCAGCCCCACGAGGAGGACCTCTGGCATTATTGTTCATCCCTGCCTCACTCGCACCCACCGTAGCCGCCGAAACGCCCGACGCAGTTGAAGACGGTCCGCGCACCAGGGCGGTGGTCTGCGGGTTTCGGGCCTCGAACCGGGCGGCCAGCGCCTTCACGGTGCTGCTAGCCGGTGTTCCGCTCTCGGACTGCGATAACCTGCTGGTCTCCATGATCGTCGACAAATGGTTCGTTGCAGCGTTCGCTGCCGCTGAGGCTCCTGCTGCGCCATTAGCTCTAGTCTCGTCTCCTGCAGCAGTAGTACTAGAACCCGCAGTTTTAATATTGTTCCCACCTCCACCGTCCTGCTGCGCCGTTCCACTTTCGGCCAAGATCATCAGCCCCTCACCCAACACCTGCGGCTCCAGAAGGACCTGCGGTTGCAGCTCCGGCGGCGATTCGAGTTTCTGCTCCGTTATCAAATGTAAAAATGTCTGGGTCTGGAAGATTCTGACACTTGTCATGCACGTTATGCATGAGCCCTGATGTCTGTGATGCATGCCCTAGCATCACAGATTTTTTGAGAGCTTCTTGATGCCTATTCCGCATGACAAATGCCCTCTCCGCGTAGCAACAATTACATTCCTTTTGGTACTCATGCAATACAGATTTTTCTGGAATCCAAATGCAGCATCACAAGTTGCATTCTTCCAGACCCAGACACTTTTACATTTGATATCCGTCTCCCGCATCAGAAACTCCTGGTCGACCAGAGCGGCGACCTCCTGCTCGACGGCCGCCTATCAAATCCAACTATGTCTGGGTCTGGAAAGAACTTGTGATGCTAAAGTATGGATAAACCTGGTGCTTTCAAGTGCAGCCAAGCATGACAAGTTTATTTGACGCCGTCTGATGCGTAGCACGCATGACAAAGACAAACTGCGTCTTTGCATGACAAAAATGCAACGCTTTTGCTGGTTATGCAACACAAATTTTTCAGGAATGGTAGACACGCAACACAAGCTCCGCTTTTCCAGACCCAGACATATTTGCATTTGATACCGCCATTTCGCGGTCGATCTCCTCTTGAGCGGCCGCGAGAATCGTGGGACAGTCCGGTGTATGGATTGCAAATATGTCTAGGTCTGGGAGATTGCAACTTGTGATGCTGCATTGGGATTCCAAAAAAATCTGCATTGCATGAGCAGCAAAGGGAACGTAATTTTTTCTACGCGGAGAGGGTATTTGTCATGCGTCATAGGCATCAAGAAGCCCTCAAAAAAACTGAGATGCTAGGGCATGCATCACAGACATCCCGCCTCGTGCAAAATGTGCATGACAAGTCCCAGAATCTTCCAGACCCAGACATATTTGCAATCCATACGGCGTCCGCTCCGGCGGCGGACTGGCGCTCCGGGGCCGCTCGTTGTGCTCCGGGGTGTTTGCGCCGGCGTGAATATGTTCGTAAATTTTTTCGTGCTGATCATGGTCGTCCGGCTGGTTATGGAGGTTTAGGTTTTTTACTTCTGCGCCGATACAATTAGCGTTCTGTTCCTCAGCTTCCCCCTCTTCCGAGTCGGATGACGTCCCGCTGCCACTGCTAGAGTCGTCTTCGTCAGAGTCCTCATCGCTGGAACTCTCGTCCACCTGGGCGTCCGAATCACTGATTCCAACCTGCTCAACGACACTGTTTCGAATTCGATTCACACCTCCGGCGGAGTGCTGTGCTTGATGATACACGTCGACCATGTTGTCTCCTCCGCTAGAAGAAGCGACCGCGTTCTCGTTTATTCCGTCGATCTCGCTCTCGGCTATGTCTTGCAATCGGTCGTGCTCTTCTTGAGCGTGGCCACTGGGCTGCAGCAGCATCGTCTATCCTGAGTAAAAACGTCCCCACCCCAGAGTTGTCCTTGTCATGCAGATTTGCGACTGCAGGAACATTTGTAATGCGCAGACCCAAGAGAGGCATTTTGAATCGTGTTTTGATATTTGTAATGCTGAAAACAGGATGAGCAGATGGATTTGTGATGCGGTTTCCGTTGCTAACCTGCACTACAATACGGACGGCAACTTGTCATGCATGGCTCCCAAAACTTCTGGATTTGTGTTGCCAAGTTCCCAACTTGACTATGGGGTGGGAACGCTTTTACATATGATATCGTCGGCCGGGTCATCATCGGCACCATCTGGGTCGCACGGCCGGCTATCAAAAGGAAAAATCCCCCCTCCCCATACTAAACCGGAGATTTGTGTAGCATGATTTGCGACCACAAATCCTTTTGTCATGCTAGAGGGGAAAGAGATGCGTACTGTAGTGCTGGCTGGCGTAGGAAAGCCTAGCGTCTTCAGCATGACAGGAAGCAACTGGAAACGGGAAACAGAATGACAAATTACCAACAAACGAGGGGGCAACTGCGTCTCTTGGCCTTCGAGCAATACAAGTCGATTTGTGTACTCAAATACAGCAACACAAACATGGGGAGGGGGGGTTTTTCCTTACAATACCGGCAGCGCCGGTCACAAATGCGGAGCCGCGCGACTGACACCGTGCGTTGACATTCGGTGTGGAAGTGGCCATATCTTGACGAGGATGAGGATCGATTTACAGATAGGAAGAGTTGCACGCAGACAGGAAACACTCGGTCTCGGAAGTAGGAAAACCCCCGAAATAAAACTGACAGAGGACTGATTCTTTGCTACACTGAATTGCAAATAATTCAGGAACAACGCACAGGAAAACGAAAGAGATAAAATATTGTGATTGTCCAAACTGCTCGACTGTCACTATAGTGTTCGTGATGTCTGAAGAATACATACACAAAATGCACACACCGCCACACCGGCAGCGTGGGTCTATTACTTCCGCTCACACACACACAAACACACGGTCGTGCCTCTCTCATTTGTTACTTCTTTCGTCACAATGACAATATTACGAGATGTTGCTTTGGTCAAAATGACATTTACCAACTACGTAAAGCCGGAGAAGAAGTAAAGTCCATGGTATTGTACCTGGTCTTGACGAAAAGAACTGCATTGTGTGTCCAAAGCGTGAAGATAGAGATACTAGATGAACCATGAAAGTAAGTAGAATAATATGCGTCGTGTAGAAGTTGTAGTTCGTCATCTCTCGACCACTGCAATAGAACAGATACTCAAAAGAACAGGTAAACCACACTGGAGGCGAGCCGCAGAAAGGACTACTCCTGCACCCGTCGCCACACCATCTCGGGTCTGAAGGAAAGAAGGGCACTTCCTTTTGGCCGATTCTATTTTCTATTTTTTCCCAAAACACACACAAAAAAAGAAGGTCACAAGAAGTAGAGGTCATTCGTTCTTTCGTCATGACAGCAGATGATGCAGATTTTGCATGCAATACAACAAGAACAGCAGGTGATATTTTTTCAGATCTGTTCCGCCGCAACTCGTCCAAATGTGTCGTCTACTCTGGAGTAGAGCAGGAGCTTTTAAAAGAAGTGTGTCACTAGCTCCTGCCCATGAAGAACCAATCGCCGTCGTGCGCCCCAGAAGATTCTCATTTTTGCTGTTGCCACTCAAGAAAGCCTGCTAGGTCGAAGCAGATGAAGAGAAGAGCTGGTTGGGCATGGGCGGTACTTGAAGTTATTGTCCTCGTGGATGATCCGCCGTCTCCGTCGTCCGTTTGTGATCACGAAGAACCGTGTACGTTTTTAGTGAAAGTGAAAATGTAGCTCCGATGAGGTGGACGAAGAATGGTGGTCTCTACTGCATTTCTTGTTTCAGGTGTCGAGAGAAAGTTCCGTCATGTCGCTAGTTTTTCGTTTTCTACTGTCGTCTAAAAGTAGACCACTGTGCTGCCCCGATTCTATTTATTACTGCTGATTCAAGAACTTTTGTCGGTCGCCGTTGTTGATGTAGGTAAAAGTCGTCTTTTTCGAACAAGCGTGTCTTTGCTACGTGGTGAAAAAACCCTGACTCAAAACTGTCCCCCATTAGAATCACCGTCTTGGCAAGCGGAACCAGGACCCGGAAGGCTTCGACGACGTCGTGGAGTCGTGTGCGGCGGCCGCCCCGGCGCTGCTCAGCCCTTCTGGAATCAAGCCGCCCTCGAAGGACAGGGAGGATTCGGTGGGGAAGAAAGATGAGGAGGCAGAAGCACCACTTGAAGCTTGCATCCCGTTGTCCATTGCCGGCATCATGGTAGTAGTTCCATCACCAGTACTGATGTTGCCGTCGCTGGAACTGGAAGACGAGGCGCCGCTGATCGTATGCATTGCAAATATGTCTGGGTCTGGGAGGACACGAACTTGTCGTGCTACGTCTCTCTGGATCGTACAAAAATTTGTGTTGCATGACTACCAAAAGCTGTCCTCTTTTGAACAAGTTTAGAGGCAGTCTGTCATGCAGGATAGGGATGATAGAGACGTCGCAGAACCTGTCATGCTAGGTCCTGTATTCCAAATCTCATGGGGCATGGAAAATATGCATGAGAAGTTTGCATTCTTCCAGACCCATACATATTTGCATTCGATAGATCGCTTGGGAAAACCAGGACTGCTCACCACCACCGTCCGCTGCGTTATTTTCACCTCCCCCCGCGGCGGATTGCCCACCGAACATTCCCGACATCATGCTGGCCATGTTCATCCCGGTACCTCCTCCCGCTGCTCCACCCTCTGCTCCCGGCGTGCCCGGCGGCGGTCCGTACTGTTTCTCGTACTCGATCATCTCCAGGGCCTGTTCCCGGGGGGTCTTCTGGTAGGACCGCATCAGCAACGCGGACACGCCCTCGATGCAGGTGAGGATCACTCCGCCCACCACCGCGTTCTTGCCCGCCTGCTTCCAGCCCGCGCGGGCCGCGAGGATGCCGCCGGTCAGGAACCCGGACATGATGCTGTTCCAGGAGTCGTCGGTCCGGCGAATGTACTGCAGGGTGCAGTCACAGGTCGCGAAACAGCCACCCCACACCGCGAAGTTGCCGCCCAGAATGGGCGCCCGCGACTTCCCGTGGTACAGCGCGCCGGCGAGCCGCTCCCCCTTCGGCGAGTTCCGCGCCCCGCGGACGAAGTGCCACAGAAACCCGCCAACGCAACCCATGCCGAACGCGCCCCCCAGGTCTTCCACGATGCGGTCGGGGCAGGGTTCGCGACCCGTGTCGCGGTCGTGCTGTTGCTCCCAACGGGTCGTCGCGGCCATTTTTGGTTTGATGTTCTTTTTGGAAAAGAGCTTAAAGGCAGAATTGAGATAGAGTCGTTCTTTTTGGCGTAGAAGATAGTACTTCGTGTTGCTTTCGACTTTAAACTTCTCTTTCCCAAGGTCGTGCCTTCGCTTATTCACACAGATTTTTGTATTCCGTCGTTTTTCCTCCAAAGCACCGATGAGTTATCGGAAACTTTAGACGTTGTTCTTTTCTCCTTGTACAACTGCGTTCCCTAATGGTTCATTTCCAAAAAAAGCGTTTTCTCGTTGACCCCATAAATGTTTTTTTTCGCTGTGAGAATTCTTTCGGAAACCCAAACCGTCACAACGAGCAATCAAAATATAATGTTCTACTTCTACCGCACTTGATCTCGTTTCAAACAAAATTGATCTTCATAAGATTCCAATAAACGCTAGCGCTGCTGCATGTAGTAGGTAATCTTGTCTGCTCGTCGGTGACGTGAGAACGGGAAAATGTTAAATGACATAGTCATGTGAAAGACAAAAGAAACAACGGGTGCACATCTGCCGCGGGCAAGAGAGCACCAGACTTCAACGCTTCAGATTGAACACTTTTACGACGATAGTAAGGTAGTTCGTTGTTGTAGACACTCTCAGCTACGGTAACCTCCGTCTATTTTCATTTTGTCAGGAAGAAAAAACTTGAAAAAGCTCGCATCTCGTCCAGGGATGTTGGAGTAAGTCTGAGTATGAGTTCGTGTTTCGTTTCTGTCAAATGGGGAAAAAAAACAATGCGAGGGTAGAGCTCGCGTCGCCTTTTTTGTGGATGTAGACTTTGAAGTAGTATGCTTATTTTTCTTTCATGATTCCGCTCGGTAGGCGGATCTTGATTTTTTCAGAGAGCCACTGCTGCGTCCATGCCTTCTATTTCCAGTCATGCTTAGCATTTTGCAGTAGCTGTGACTACAACTACAAACACGCCTGTCTTTCTCATTATCATACACACACAGATTGTAGTTACGAATGGCGATGTTGTTTAGGTTTTACCTTGTCAGAAATAAAATGCGCGACAAAATTCTGTGCACAAGAAGAATGTTATGGACGATATGCGATGGGTTACTTGCTTCCTCTCGCGTGCTGTGTAGCGCAGTCTTTGCGAATGCGGATGCTATACGCAGCATAGCAAGGTGCTCGCAGCAGACTACAATAAAAGCAAAATGGCTAAGAGGGTTTTGAGAACTATGTCCTATCCTTACCTGTCTGGCGGACGCAAACGAAACATCATGTTAGACTTAGAGTTGGTGTTGGCAGAGCATTATACACAAAGTTTTTTCACAGGTAGCCATATTAGCTCTACTAGGATTTTTAGCATGGGCATCAATCTATGTATCTCAGTCTTGCTGCGCATCTGTGTAACGCTATAGCGTGTTGTTCATTATCATTTCTTTGACAATTTCTTGTAGGCAACAGAACTTTCCTACCTCTCGTAAGACTAAAACTTCTGGAGACTGGAGTCTGAAAGTCGTCTAAATAAAGAATTGTTGCGACCACAAGTTTTCAATTTGCACAGAAACATCTACCTCCTAGTACTTGCCCGCAAAACGGTAGACCAATCTCGAGCAGTTGTCGCGAGAACGAGACAATGCTGCGGACAAAAAAAAAGAATTGCGAGTACCCACATTTTTACAAAAAACTGATCGCTGTAGGAGCAAAAAAAAAAAACGGAAATTTTTGAAATCTAACTATACGTTTCAGTCTACAGTTCCAGAAAGAACAAAACAGTGGAGTGTTACCAGTTGTACGGTCAACTGGCGATCTCGTCAAATCCCACTTCTCCAGATGAACCCTATTTCCACCTCAAGCCACCAGCACCGGCGCGTTTTTCTCGATGTAGACGACGTACCGTTCCTTTCGCCGCGCGTAGTGCGGGCACTCGACATGGCGAATAGAAACCAAATTCCCCGACCCAATGTAGTCGAAGTTGTCTTCCCACCACTTCTTCTCATAGGACCGGTACTCCGGGACGCCCTTGGTCCATTCCATCTGGGCAATCCTGGCGTTCGACTGGTCGTGGTACTTCGCATCCAGTACATCCGCAATGATGACCCACTTCCTGGCCATCCGGAGCATGTTGTCCACCGCGCGCTTGGCCTGGTCCTTGTCGGCAAGGTACTGAAACACCGAGTTGCAGACCACCACGTCCCAGGAGTTTTCTTCAAACTGCGTCAGCGCATCCGGGAGGAGACCGACGGAAAAGTTGTCCTGTAGTTTTGATGTGTTGTCGTGTGTGCGGAATGTTTTTTGTGATGCAGAACCCCCTTAGTTACGAGAAGCCGTTTGTCATGCGTTGATCAAATCTAAATTGCATTCGAAGTCGTGTCAGTGCAGTACGTAGCAGTTACCAAAATTTTTATTCACATAAAGATATCATAAATCTTTATACCCGGTCCTCCACCGGCGCCAAGTCCGAGCGGACCAACTCGATGGTCTTCTTCGCCCCGTCCACTCCACCGATGGTAACCGGCCCGGGCACGGATTCCTGCAGGGACCGCAAAAAAGCGAGCACCCCGCACCCCGCCTCAAAAACCCGGTCGCCGGGGAGGACTTTGCCCTGCATGGTGTCGATCACGTAGTCATCCCAGATTTTCTTGTCGTCCAGATCCACCCACCCGGCCACCTGGTGCAAGTGACTGAACTTCGCCTCCCGGGCGAGGCAGTCAAAAGCCGCGGACACCGCGTCGGAATGGGAGGAAGTTGTTGTAGCTGTGGTATTTATTTCTTGGTTAGAAGTAGCTGGCGCGGGATCAACATGATTCACCTGCTGCTGCAACACCGTCTTCACATCTGCCTTGGTATTGTCACCACGATTCGCACCGCCGAGCGTCGACGTTGCAGAGCTGGGTGCGGAAGTGGATACTGTGGTGTCGGAGTGCTCCGACTCCTGCACCGTCGTAGATTCCTGTTTTTCCAATTCAGAGGTTGAGGCTGTGGTGACGCGGCTCGTACTGGGCTGCTGTATGACTGCGTCGGGGTTGAGGGAGGAGCTATCATTAGTAGAGTTTTTGTTCTTTGCCCCGCCGCCTGGAAACTGTCCGCCGCCAGCTGTTGTAGTTCCTCCACTACTAGTATTTATTCCCATCGGCGTGTTGTTTGGCGATGAAGCGGCTGAGCTGCCATAGCCAGTATAATTTTCGTTCGCCTGGTTACCGTTATTTGTTCCCATCTGCCCCAGCATTTCCTTTTGCCCCGGCAACATCTTCGTCGCCCGCTGGCCGTAGTGAAACTCTCCGAGACAGAAGCGGAGCAGGAACGGCACGGCCTTCATGCTATCTTCCGTAGTGGTGCCTTCAGCTGCAAGCAGGTCTTGCTCCTGCACGTCCTCACTCGTCGCACCACGCAGCTTGTTCGCCCGGGCAAGCTCTTCCCGTCGGTCCTGAATGGCCTTGGCGAGGTCGTCCAGGGTGAGGTCCTGCAGCTGCTTGCCCTGCTATCAAATGCAAAAGCGCCTGGGTCTGGAAGATTTTGATTGAGATTTGTCATGCTGGTCTGGCATGACCAAAAAGTTTGTGATGCGTGTCCAAGAAGAGACCCTTTTGCCTGTCATGCAAAAACGCAGTTTGTCATGCGAAAAACGCAACACAAAGAAGCGCAGATATTTCTCGTGCTTGCCTGTGCATTACAGAGCATTCACTATTTTTCCCAACGCAGCATTACAAATTTCCAGACCCAGACATTTTTGCAGTTGATACCTCCGGGAGTTTGACCACGTTCGTGACGGACACGTACTCGGTTTTGTTCGTTTCATTTTCCTCCTCCTCCTCCTCGTCCTCGCCGTTTTCCCCCTGCGCAGCTAAATTCATGTTGCTCGAGATCCGCTTCTCCAGGGCAGCGAGACGTCGCACAGCGGCGGGCTCCAGCTGGAATTCGCTCGCTACCGCGTCACACAGTTCTCGCATGGCATCCTGGAGGCTGCGGGAGGAGGTGGAAGTGCTCCTCCCGGCTGCTACACTCTTCAACATCGGCGGGATGGGAGTTGTTGGGGAGGACATGTTGATCGTCGAGGAGGAAAGTTGGGGTCTAGGAAAACTTTTATCGCCTTAGTTTCCGCCCCGTGTTCTGTTTGGAACAGTCCGGTCCTCAGATACAGGGCAAAGAGAACAAAATCAGGTGTTGATGAAAAAAAAGACTTTAGTTACACACGAATCTGCTGGTTTTCTCGCAGCGAGCAGCGAGCTCCTATTTGTGTTTTTGAAATTAAATTTTACCAAATGAGTTGTACTTTATCAAAACGTCAACCAGGGGCTCCCTGCAACAAGATTCAATATCAGGCAAATATCTTCATGACGATGAATTCATAACCGGCATCATCTTATCCTTGTGCTGCCGACCTATCGGAAAACAACTCACTTCACTGTACAAGGAGTTGTCCGCAAGACCAGAAACAGACTATCGCGTATCGTAGATTGAAAAAAGATAAAGTACTTATACTAAACTGGGGGGCGATACTTTCATTGGGTACTAGCACTGCTCGAAATCGCGAAAATTTGCTTTATTTGGCAACAGGGAGACGAGGCCTACAACCCGAGCTTAGCACTTCCTCATGCGGTTGCGCTGACTCTTACTCTCGCACAGATGTTGACCGAGAACAAAGGCCCGAGCACTCTTAACTGCTTTTTGCGAGCAACGAAAACAAAAATCCGCTTCCTGTAAGTACCAAAACAATACACTCGACCGAACCTTGAGATGATGTTCCAAAAAAATTTGCGAATTGACGAATACAGACTTTGAGTGATGACCAATACCGACTTTTCCCGTTTTTGAATTCTATTTCCTCTCACGACACAAATTTCCCTCGGCGACAAATATTTTCAGCCACAGAAACAGTTGTTGCAGACCTTTACTTGTTAGAGGCCGTCGCAAACGCAATCGCAAAGTACTATTACCTACGTTGTCTTCATCTAGCAAGCACGGTCAGCGTACAGATTCAACATACTTCCGTGGTCTAGCTTTTCGCTTGTAGTGTCAGACAAAGGGAGAGGGCGACAAGTACGGGGTTACTCTTACAGGGGTTATCACTACAACCTCCATCTTTCGATACAATGCAGTAAACAGAGCAAGAAGAAGAACGTCAAAATTCGTTTGTACACTAACTTGACTCCGCGTTCGTTCTTTGGTTTACTTTTATCAGATATTCCAGCAACAGACACAGAGCGCATTTTGATTTTTTTATTTACTTCTCGGAAACTACTTTTATTCTTACTTGAAATCATTAATTGCGAAAACTTTTGGGGGCGATAATTGTACATATCACGTAACTCTAAACTCCAATCTCGTTCTAGAAATGTCAAATCGATATAACGTGAGGCAGTTGCAGTTCTCAAAGCTCAGAATTTGATACTGGTCCGAACAGCAACCGAATCCCGTAAAAAATCCGATTCGAAGGCTGCAGCAGAAGCAGAAGTAAGCTCTTCCGTCTCACAACCCCTCCGTCTCCTCCCCGCCCTTCCGAAACAGCACGTGGCTGAACTGCGTCTCGACGAAGGCAAAGTTGCCGTAGCAGGGCGTCTTCAGCGGTTTGCAGAACAGGTGGCGCAGCATCATGCCGATCTCCCACTGGAAGGTGCCCGGTTTCTCGTCGTATCAAATGCAAAAGTGTCTGGGTCTGGAAGACTGCGAGATTTGTCATGCTTGTCTGGGATGACCAAAAAGTTTGCGATGCGTGTCCAAGAAGAGACCCTTTTGCCTGTCATGCAAAAACGTAGTTTGTCGTGCAAAAAGCGCAACACAAAGAAGCGCAGATATTTCTCATGCTTGGCTGTGCATTGCAGAGCATTCCCTATTCATCCCAACGCAGCATCACAAGTTTCCAGACCCAGACATTTTTGCATTTGATACGTCGCCCGGCCGCGCGACGCCGTTTTTCGGGGCGTCGTAGTAGCCGGTGTAGTAGTATGCAATGCAAAAGGAAAAGCATCGCACTAGTATAAATTGCAAGACAAATTTTTTCAAGAGAAAAAATGCAATTTGTAATGCTGGTTTACCTTACTTGCTGGATCTGTCATGCAAGACGGCGATTAGTACGATTACGATACTTTTGCACAGGATAAGTAGGCAACTTCCGCCCAGTCCTCGACGAAGTAAAACCCGCCGTTGCGCACGATCGGCCACAGGGTGTAGAAGGAGGTGAGAATTTGCTTGTTCCAGTGCCCGCCGTCGTCCACAACCACCTCCACCTCGAAGTCCAGGTTGGCCTTGACCTCCTCCAGCGCCGCGCTCGCCTCCTGGTCGCCGACGTGCACCTGGTAGCCCCCCTGGGTGACCTTCTCCTTCCAGTTCTCCAGGCAGGCCCGGTCCATCTCCATGAAGTGCACGTCCTTCCACCCGAGCTTTTGCCAGAGCTGCGCGGAGGCCCCCGGCCCGTACCCCATGTTGCACCCGAGTCCGATCTCGAACAGCGGCTTGGCGGTTTTGGCAGTATATCGCAAGGAAAAATCCCCCCTCCCCATATTGAAGAGGTAGGTTTTCGAAAATTTGTGTTGCTGATTTGAGCCTGTTTTCCACCTAATATCCGTAGGCCAGCCGTCGTTGTTGCTGATTTGAGGTCACAAATCACGTTTGTGTTGCAAGAAGACAAGGGCAGCAGCTTCCGTCCCATTATGGAGGCGGTTTGTCATGCTGGTGAGCCAGCATCACGGACGCTTCTCATGCTAAGCGCCTAAGTCAAAGCATCTCCGCTCAGGCTTGATATGGGTCTGCAGTCCTCTCTAGCAAGACAGATGTGATTTGTGTACTCAAATACAGCAACACAAATTCCGCTTTCGATATGGGGAGGGGGGATTTTTCCTCACAATACAGTATCGGAAAGCTTCTGTGGGAGGTACTTGCCGTACAGGTTGTGGTACTGGTGGGACGTCACCTTGTATCCAGGAAAAAAACTGTGTAAGAATAACTGTGTAGGAAGAGCAGCATCACAAATTAGCGTTGCATTGCAGGGAAAATCTGTCATGCGCAGCTATACGTGGAAACACGTATGAAAGTAGCGTATGACGCAGACACAGCATGACAAGTGTCACAGTTTTGCACTTTCTGCATCACAGATTTACACTCACGTAGTTTTTTTCTTGCATACCTTGTCCGTGTCCGTGGTCTTGGCCGTTTGGTAGAAGTGCGACGCGGTTCGCGCCCACAAGGCGGGGGTCTCGTTTTCGATTTCTTCGGACGAGAGGAGCGCAACAGGAGCCGAGGATTTTGCTTGTAGCGCAGTTGTTGTAGCAGTAGCACCAACCGGACTTCTTTTCCCGAGAGTGTTGTGGATCAGTTTGAGCAGCTGCACCGAGTCCTTGGTCGGTTCCGCCCCCGACAGCCCGTTTTTCAGGTACCCCTCCATCTTCTCGGCCTCGGCCCGCAGTTCGACCACGCAGCCGCCCTTTCCCTCCGCTGCCCGCGTCAACCAGCACGCGAAGGCCTGCATGCCGTGGTCGTCCTTGGCCGGGTTCATGTGCGATCCGACCGAGTCCTTCGCCGCCGAGGTGAGCTCCACGAACCGGTGCGCGGTCGCCAGCTCCCGGAAGTTGCGCACCGGAAACGCGTACAGACTGCCGGGCGGGAGGTCGCGCAGACGGTGCTGCGCGACCGCATCCGCAAGCTGCACGCGAAGCGACAAGTAGGTCTCAACTTTGTTATGGATGTGTCAGAGTTGAAATCTACAAAGTTGAAATAATTTGTCATGCATAAAATGGATGCCAGTTGGAACCCAGTTTGGAAGTGGTGCAAGACAAATTTCGGCGGTCCCTAAATCCACTCTGTCATGCTGTTTAGGCAAAGAAGAGCGATTTTCTCATGCTACTTTAGCAGCTCGAGCTGTAACCCCAAACAGGCTTACAATCGGCCTCACTTGCCTGCTCTGCAACACACGT